TGGTGGAGCTGAGGCAGACCTGGATCCGGTAGGCTGTAAGAGGGGGCAATGTCGGGAAGGCTGGCCTGCTCCAAGGCTCCCATGGACGGCGGTGTGTAGACGGAGTGCACCTGCCTGCTCATGTAGAGGCAGGGCGGCGGGCTGTGGCTGTAGTCTTCCAGCTGTGATCTCTGGTAGGCACAGGAGTCTTTAAAAACCTGAGAAGGATAATAATGATCTTCCCGATTCATGGCTTCCGAGGACCCGCACATGTACCGTACCTGCATGCGCCCTTCCTCGGCGTGGACCTATACTGCTCTACCTGTCTCTGGCGCAAACTGCGAGGCCCTCACGGCTCCGCACAGGTGTGTCACTCTGCCACCATGTGACTCTACAGAGCCAAAGCTATTGGTTTCACTGTTTGCAGACCCGTCGCCCTCAGTTTCCAGGTTATTCTGCAGCTTGTGGGATTGTTCGGTAAATTGAACAGCGCGTAAATCAATGCTACTCTGTAAATATCGCGACGTTTACCTGCCACCCACCTGTGTTTGCCCCCACAGCAGCACCAAACAGTGAACAGGTGAATCACTGAGACCTTGCCTCCAGAAAACTGCTGAAGTTCTTAATGGTCTAGCGCGCACGGAAGAACCCTGTTTCTCTTGCAGGACATGCAGTTTAGGATTGTCCTTACACAATATGTCATCGACAAATTTATATGGATACATCTCTCGTCTGCACTCTTTGGGCTGATAAATCGATATATGGTCGCAAACATTGGTTGACCTGCAAGATAAGAGACCTGCGGGGAGAGACAGTTGTCTTGGAAACTCGGATGCACCAAAGTCTGTTTCCACATTTTTTTTTTCACGTCTACACTTTTCTGACTTTTAAAATATACCCATTACACTTCTGTAAATGCATCATTTAACACAATTTAGCGAAAGTGGGCCCACGGCGATGACAAACACGGAGCCGCTGAAGGTCGCTGCACTCTCACCATGTTTGCTGGCCATTAGCCTTCAGCAGGTGTGCGTTCGCCCCATTAAACAACGGCTCTCGTGGTTAACCAATTAAGGTTGGAGTGAGCAACAGAACTCAATTAACCGGCGTGCGCGTGAGGCGCGTCTCAAAAAAACCTACGACCTCACCTGCGCGTTTATGCAACATTTTGAGCCTTTGCCACATGATCGGAGTGATTTAGCTATTTTTTTTCATGTAAATTGTAGGGCCTGCAGGACGACTTTTACCCTGATAGTGTGTATCAATAGTCTTATTTGCACAGAGTTCTTCAAAAGCAATTATGGCACTTTCCACAGTATCTTAATGGGGCACTCAGCGATGCAATAAAGTTCAAGTAAACCAATTCTATAGAAATCCCCCCCTGCACTATGGCTTAATGGTGTTTATATTTGATCGTTCTTTTAAAGAGGAAGGAAACAGTTAACCCAAGCGACGCTCCACTACAGTGGAGATGGACAACGTGATTTATGAAGCATGAGGGGCGTTAACCGCATTTAGCAGACTTTCCAGACACAGAATCTGGCATAATGGCTTAAGCGAGGAGTAATGCATTTTAAGTTTAGTATATAATAGATCGAGCGGTAATCATGACCACAGACAATGACAGTTGTCCATTTTATAAAACGCTGGTGGTGTGGAACAATAAAAGAGTGTATGCTTACACACATGGAGACCGGCCAAATGGATGCGAAAGGTTTCAACGCTTGAGCACATTTCCATCTGTTGTCCTGAAACCCTGGTGACCCCACTTAAACACATGGGAATATGCATGTGAGTTTAATCACTTGTACGTTATTGTCATTACAGCCTTATTGCTATTAATCCATTACTGGAGATTAGTTGTACACTAGGACACATGTAAGGAGTGTCAGGGTTTTTTTTTTTTCTCTCCTTTGACAAACAAATCAGTTTGTGATAGCCGGTAGGCCTATATACATGTCCAAAAAGTTAGACACGCGATAAAATGTGCTTACCTAGTGTGGCGACAGCAGCATGGCTTATGTAAACATTATGACGGGTGAGTGATGACAGAAGAATGGTAATGACCATATCATTGAAATCAAACCTCCTTCACTGCGAAACAGAATTACAACAGACCATGAGTCATGTGTGAGGAGAGGACAATAATGGCTTTAAAAACTTTTGTGAGAAATCACCCTGATTACGTGGGCTATAACGGCCACTTGGTAGTTTATTCACTGCAATTTAAGTGGAAAATCAGAAAAAAAAAAAAAGCTTAATCTTGGCTACTGGCTGAACATCATCTACCATCAGGAATAAAAACTTCAAACGTCTTCTCAGACAGGTGCACAGGTCAGTTCTCTCAGTCAGCTGGCAGTTCTGTGAGGTGTGTTAGCTGGTCAGTGAGCAGTTTCAGGAGTATCCACCTCTGTGCACCCTGAACAGGGAGTGGCCTCAGTAAAATCAGTGTTCCTCCGCCAGACAGAAGTCTTTATTCATGAAGTCTGTCTTTGTCTCTGTTCTGGCCATCCCTTCCATGTCTCCTGTCCCTGTTGTCTTTGTGTCTGTAACTCCTCTCTCTGTCTCTATCCGGCTTCTTATCTTTGTTATTGCAGCTGTCCCTGTGATGGTGTTTATGGTCTGCATGGCCCCCTGTACTTCTGTGATCTCTGGGAGGCGTTCTGCTGCGGTTGCGGCTTCTGTCCGGGGAGTCGCTCCTCAGGCGCCCTCTCGTGGCGGAGTGTCCGTCTCTGGACTCAGAGGTGCGCTGCTGCAGGCCGGTGGAGCGCAGGGTGTTGAGGAGGAAGCGCTTGTTGGTGCTCCGCAGGGGACACTTCAACCTGACAGGGGAGTGAACAGACACACTTTTAAACTCGGACACTTATCTCTGAGACCTTTGGGTGGTCATCACTGGCTTCTAGAAGGCATTATGTCTTTTCATTTAAAAAGGCCATGCGGATTAAGATACCCAGATATGTAACATCCTTAGTTCAAAGCTAATAACCATGACACCAGATGACAAAACATTTAAACGTTCTTCATAAGCTGGGCTGTAGCTACACTCAGGACATTGAGTTCATGTTCTCGTGATTTTTTTCTTGGAATTTTGGGGGTTTAGCAACCTGGAGGGAGTTACATTGATGATGAATGACCTTAATCAGATCATCTCTGAACAGGAATGCTACTGGTTTCCAGTACTATACACTAAATCATTGGAATGAACTGCAACACAAACTAAAGTTAGACACTCAATCCTCTGGGAGACCTTAAAGTTCCACTTGTTGATATTGCTAGAATATATATGTGACTGTTTTAAAATATACATGTGTGTGTGTGTGTGTGATTGATTTGTGTGACTGAATTGTCTTGTGTTGATGTATGTATGTAATTCGTTTTTAGTTTTTTTGTAAACAAGATATTGATCTCGAGAAGACTTCCTGAATAACCTAACTATTAACAATCCATTCAATTTGGTTTGACATTTTTAAATAATGACATTTTGGGGGGTGGGCAATAATTACACAAAATACAATTTTGACAAAACATGAGTAAACTCGAAATAATCATGTCCATTTCACTGTGAATATTCTGTTTTCCTAAAAGATATAATGTTATATTACGTGGAGCTATCTTTTGTACTAGAGTTATTTTGTAGGTTTGTCTCAGTATTGTTGAGTCTTATTGCAAGTATGTATCACTATCATTGTAGTATTTGCTTTTGAGGACATAAACTAACAAACTAGCTGAGAGTATAGCATGGACACAAGACAAAGTGAGCACAGACTAAATCTTAAAATACCACAAATAGGCAACACACTCAAGGAACAAACACTGCCCCAGTGTATGTACAGTTAGGCAGATAAGTAGCAGCCAAGTGTCCACAAATGACAGATGTGTGCCGGCTGATACAGATGGCGTGTCAAACACAGTGCTCACCATCCTGCAGGGCCCATGGTCTCTGCTCTCACTCGAGCCCTGTCAGTCTCCTTTAGGAGCTCCTCCACTGCACGCCTACGTAGATAAATAAAGACACACATGGGTCACGTGAAGGGGAGGAAATTGGGAGAAGTTGAGGACAAAGATAGCACAAAACCTCAAGGGGGAGCCAAGGGGAGAATAATTAAATGAAGTGAGAGAGAGGAGAGGAGACAGTGAATCATTAGTGAATGAATAAAGGACAGCGGCAGTGTCCTACTTTGACCCGAGTTGCTGAATCAGCAGAAGTATCATCAGAGGAGACTCACTCATTTAGCCGACCTTTAACCACACAGCACAGGCAGTGAATGGTGATTGTATTAGTGGAAGGGTTTCCTTACAACAGAGCAAATACAACAGCTGTCAACCAGAAATATCCCTCCCCTCTGACGGAGCGGTGCTACGGTTTTGACGGAAACTCGCTAGAAGTGTAAGCAGCTGTAACGTTACATACGTTAACTGAAGATAAACAGTTAAATAGTTACATACTTCTCCAGCTCATTGTCCTCTGCCATCGCCTCGTTATTAAATACACGTTGTTAAGACGTCAATTCAACTGAAATCTATGATTAAATGTTAATTGACGCTAGCATACATCTTTTTCTGTTTACTTCTCCGCGAGGTCCTTCAACCAAGGACCCTGTGATTTAAGCTGTCTGTACCGATGCCTGGTAGTTTCCAACAGTCACTTTCACGTATTTTTGTTACAAAACTGACACAAGAATGACATTAGAATGTGAGAAACTCAAAGCAACTATTAATGACTCACCTGCCAGTGAGATTTTTGTCAAATTGGCAACCAAAAGGTTGAACTTATTAACGGTGTATTTTTGTAGTACAACTAATGACTAGAAGATGTGTTAACTATGCCATTAAAATTTAAAAAAATATTCATTAGAGGTGCTTCAATAATAATGTGTTTTACCAACATACTCCAACACAAAAATCTTTCTTGACCGTTTATGGCAGTACAATGCAACCATTAATCTACATAGCAATTTATGGAACTTTTTGCATCCATTAAAACTCCAACTTTCACATCACAGTAATGTAGAATAGGTGAGTGAGGGTCACATTTTTTATTTCCATTTTCGAGATTTGTTTTGAGCAGGCCGTTTCGAAGCCACCTCTGATTCTGCTCTGGATTGACAGGTTTAGGCCCCGCCCACCCATGTTGACAGACAGCAGTGGGCGGGGCCAGCGCCGCCAAAGGCACGGGGGCGTTTTCGTGCGGTTTTGCGGAACGGGCCGTTGCGGTGAATGCGTGATTGAGGTCCCGCAGCTATTATTCGTTCCCCTCTTTGGGGCCGGAGTGCACGGCGCGGAGGAGCAGCCGGAGCAGGTAATATTACATCTGTTTATATTTAGTGGCTGCATGGACGGTGTCAGTGTGTGGCTTGCTTTGCATTGATATTGCCATTGTCGCCTCATCTGTCCTAGCTTCTCCGCTTGTGGAGGGTGGGATGGAGACAGACAGATGGGAACAATGATTACAAAAATGCACTTGTCTAATCAAATGTGTTCAACGCCTACGGGTAGCTAATGGATCATGACACTTCAGTTGGTGCCTTGCCAAGGTAAATCAGGACAATGACACTGGAAAAAAATGATTGGAATTATCAATTATATCAGTGTCAGTTTTTGTTGTTAGCATTGCATGCCTGACTGTTGTGAAAAAAACCAGCATATTGCAACAGACATTAAGGCCTGTTATTGAAAGTGGCTAACAGCCATTCGATTTTGTTTAAAGATAAGAGACGACGAGATGGGGGGTTTACATAAATGTAGGCTAAGCCGACAGGACCTGAGATTTTAAATCTGTGACCTAAAACATCATTTCATCTTATCTGAAAATGTCATTCCTGCAGGCGTTCATAGCTTGTCCCTGTGTTGTAAGATTAGATTGTCATCTCTGAAAAATGAAAAAATGAGCAGAGACAGGTGCAGGGCCAAAGACTGTTATTTATTAATATAGACAACAGTAGTGCAATGACAATAACAGCATGGCCTTGGACTCCCACGCACACACACAGTAGGACTAAAAGAGAGATAAGCATTTGCTAGTCTTCCTATGACTTGTGTAAAATAATCTGTTGCTACAGAGTCCAGCTATGTTTAAAATAGATTTAAGTGCTTTTCATGGCCGGGGCTCTAAACTGCTGCCACAGTGAAAACCGGAAGACTTTACTTATTGATAAAGACCATTCGCAGGATCTGGTACCTAAAAAGCTCTTGTGCATGTGTGCGTGTGTGTGTTTTTGCTTTCGTTTTTGTAGACTTATACTTGCGTTTCTACAAGTGTGTGTGTGTGTGTGTGTGTGTGTGTGTGTGTGTGTGTTTTGTGTGATGTGGTGATGTCACAGCTTTGTTATAGGAACAGAGAAGCCTTGTGTCCTCATGATTAATTCATGTCCAGCTGCGGGATGGAGACAGAAGCAGCCAGTCACACACAGACAGGAGCACGTACTTAAAGGAGGCTGAAATAAGTAACTACCGGTCTGGTAGCCATGGGAGACAGGAGAGACAGGTTGTCACAGAAATGGGTAGCAAAGGAGATGAGACGATAAAAAAAAAAAAAAGGAACCAAAGAGGGGCTCTCATCATCGTCTCCGCTGTCTGACACGCTTTCTGGCTGTACCAGGGAGGAGCAGAGCATCCTGCAGAGAGACACGCATCTGTTGTGTGGCTCCTCTGCATCCCTCTCCGGCTACACTCTGAATGTCAAGCCCCACTGAGCAGAACAGGCTCCGGGTCGTCATGGAGACAAGAGCAGACCCCTGCTGGAACAGAGGCAGGTAGTCACTGTGGCTCGGCCGGCCCGCTGTGAGCCGAGGCACGCCCTCTGCCGTCCACTGATTGCATCAGGCCCCACAGGGGGGGGGGGGGGCTCAGCTAATAGAGCGTCTGAAGGTCTGAATGGCTTTGGATGTGAAACACTGTGGAAATGATCAGTGCACACAGTGCATTAGCTCTGGGGACGCACTCTCCTCGCGGAGTGCTGTATTTCGAGACTTTGCTTTAGGCATGTTCTCTTTCTGTTGCAGAGTTGACTGAGTGCATCTACTGTAATGGCCTGGACTAAAAATATCAAGTTCGCTGTGGGGGAATGTGCAAAGAATTATTACTATTTTTCTTCTCTTCTTTGTTTTCATCTCTTTTCGTGGACTCGACTGCCTCTCGGAGCCTCACACATCCTCTCCTCTGTCTTATTTTATTTGTCTAGTTTTGTGCCCTTTTCAGATTGTTCCATCCCATTAATCTCTCTTGCACCTCTTCTTATTGCTTTTTCTTCTTCCCAGTTCGGCCCTCTGCTCTTTTTCACCCCTGGCCGGCACTATTTTTCCTCTCTGTTGCTTTCCCAATCCCAATTCCTCTGATCTGTGTCCTCTCTCTGCCTCAATCCCAGATAATTCCCTCTCTGTGGAATTGGAAGATTGTAGCAGGCGAGAGCAAAAGAGAGATTATACTGCCAGATTAGTGGACAGGAGCAGCAATACATAATCTCAGCACACTCACTGACACACACACACACACACACACACAGCGCCACTCGATCTCCTGCAGACACGTGGGTCCACGTGCACAAAGCATTTGCCACTTGAATAAATGCAAAAGCACATAATCAGACACTTGTTGTTTTTCTGCAAACAGCTGTTTAACCCACTTTCATTGCCCTCTGACCTGCAGGGTGATGAGCCATCAGCCACTGGGGGGCATCTGTCCTCTCTGCAACTTCTTCATCCTGTGAAGCTTATGGGATAGGAGTGCGTGTGCCCCTTCCCAAACACTGCAGCCCCACTGGAGTCATTTGTGCCAAAGCTGAGTTGCGTTGAAGGAGCAGAGATGGGCAGCCCGTGCTGCGAGGTGGGTCTAGCCGGGCCGGGGGAGCCAGCCTCGGAGGCTCTGTGTCCCGAGTGTGGCCAGATCCACCGCAGCTGGGAGAACCACCTTTTCAACTACCGTCTGGAAGTGGACGACGACCTGGTGTGCCACATCTGCCTGCAGCCGCTGGTGCAGCCGCTGGACACGCCGTGCGGACACACCTTCTGCGCCCGCTGCCTGCGTAGCTTCCTCCAGGAGAGGGACTTCTGCCCGCTGGACAGGACACGGCTGCAGCTGCAGGCGTGCCGCAGATCCAGCATACTGGTGCACAAGCTGCTGGACAAGATGTCCGTGTCCTGCCCTCTGACCCCCGTCTGCTCCCTCAGCATGCCACGATGTGACCTGGAGGCACACCTCAAACACAGGTAATAAAGCCTGCATACACACATAATAGATGTATGCTTACATGAGAGCTGTGTGCAAACGCTATAAGCATACATTGCAACCACGATTTCACAAGCCTTAAATATGTAATGTAGCTTTGTTGTAGCTGCATTTGAATCAATCAGACAATCAACAAAGACACTTGTTAAAAGTGTTTGACCTTTATATGTGAAAGTATTAGTCAATTTATAACTTAGTTGATTGACAGACAATGAGTGTTTTCTAGCTTCTCCGAAGTGAGGATTTGTCTTCTGTGGTAGTTAACTTAATACTTTTGGGTATTGAGCTGTTGGTCGGAGCAATCAAGCATTTGGAAGTCATCACTTTGGGCTCTGGGAAATTGAAAAAATTATTCTCCATTTTCTGACATTTTGTAGACTGAACCATTCATCTATCAATGTCGAATATAATTAACGACTTAAATAAAGACAACACTAGTTGCCTTTATATAACCCCTCCTTCCTCACGATTAGCGTGTTTCTGCCGGTAACCTTTGGAGATATCATAGTTCTTGGTCCAGAGCGGTGAGACTTGACCTTAAGGGTTTTACACTTTGGCTTTTGGCCCATTCGGACCAGGTGCTGTGAGACCCTGTGGGGATTATTGGGCTGTATAGGTCATGTGACGGGGGATTAGTGGTTCCCTACTGCAGTCATGGGTTGACGGACCAGGAGCTCCATATTCTCATTCTGCAATCATGCTGAGCAACTTCAACACCAGAGACCTTTTCAACCATTTCTTCTGTGAGACAGCCAAAGGCAACCCTGGCCTGTGGTGAGTCGAACCTGGCGGGATATGAGACAGCGTGACTCGGGGTGGCACAAACCTTTCTCTCACCGGTTTCCTCTACCTTTCCTTCTGCGTGTCTCTCAATGTCATTTCTTTCTTGCTCTCTCTTTCCTGCTTTTCTTTGTTGCCCTGATGATGTGTGTGTATTTGTCTATGTATCAGAGTTGTCGAAGGGAACCCGGGTTAGGCTGTGATGATGGAAGTTGTGTACATTTTGAATATGAGAGGATATCAAAATAAATGTAGAAATGTTTGTACATAGCGATTAACTTTGCTTGGTTCAAAAGAGAGGTCGACTGAGAGTGGATTTTTAACGGATCATATAATAAGGACAGTTTGGAGCAGCTATCAGCCACTTTCTGAGCCCAGTTTCACCGACGCAGATCAATCAATCAGCCTCTAGTACAAATGTTTTGGTCAGAACATTTGTGTAATGGTATAACAAGTACAGTTGTGAGGACTAGTATCATCAGGGTTATTTATTTGGGAGGAAACTTCTATTTGGGACATTTTTTTAAAGATGGTATCTGTTGCTAAAGAGACATCCATTTGTTTGTTGACTGGCAATCAGGTGACTGCCTAACACCTCAGTTAAGTCAATAAGATTTTCCTTAATAAGCTCACACTAACGAGCTATTGCTGGGAAGGTGTTAAAAGCTTTTCCGAGTCAGCTGTTTTTACAGGAGACCACTGCTAAATACTTTATTTTAATTATTAATTCTTTATGTATTTAAAGCAATACTAACTTTTACTGAATGGCAGCCGCTGTAGCTACAATTACAGGACAACATTAAATGGTAAAACATAGTGTTACAGTAGCACGAGTAGAGAAGACGTCATTTAAAGTAAGTGAACGGACTCGGTTAATAACATGAGTTACACATCAATATATGTCTAAAGTTAGCCAAAGTTAGCTAACATTAGCCACCGTAATCCACTGGTCACACCAGGCTAAAGAGGCTTTAGCAGCAAGACCCAGTCTATCTAAGTGAGTATGTGTGCAGCTGTTTCATTTGTGAGAATATTAATGTTTCAAAATTCACACTTTAAGAAAAGACAGAGTTCTCTATTCACTGTACAGCTGCAGCCAGATCAAACTTTATCGTCAACAGTCTCCTTGTTAATCAATCACATCTGCAGAAGGGTACATCTCAGCGAAGGATGTGCACATTATGTGGGTGTAGAGAAGACAAGGAAAGATGGTTCGAGAGCGATCGAACAAGGTCACTGTGAGGACTAGCATGACATTTTTAGTAAAGATTAAAACTCTGGCCAACGTGGGTTTGCGCTCCCCTATCCTGCAGACTTAAGGTCTAAGATAACAGGAGCCAAGAGAGGTCACTGGACGTTAGATTAAAAGACGAGAGTGCCAAGCCACAGTGTTCCACTGTGATCAAGGTGGGCTGGTTGATCGTATTACTCATGGTGTGAGAACTGAGAGACTTTCACTGTTCTTATAAAAGGCTCCACATGAGCTCCACCTGTTCCAGTTTTACATATTGGATAAAAAAGATGATCCTTTTTTCTCGTCTTGGTCTTGAAGGGAAAGGGTCAAAGGTAGATGTAGAAGAAAATTAGCAATTAGAAAATAAATGGTGAGTGTAAAATTACATCAGGCCACATATAGCATTACAAGAGCAATATTTTAAATATTGCAAGAGCAAAGAAGCGTGGGACAGCGATGTCAGTTTTCCATGGTCCTGTTTTCTAAGAAGAAAGGTAATGAAGTGTAGAAGCATTTAAATTATTTAACCAGCTTATAGCTGCCACTTAGAGTAAATACTTAGGAGTCAATTAAGGGTGACACCACATTGATCTGTGTTTATTTTTAATTGTCTTACAGTGAAGACTTTCTATTTGTGGGACATAATTGATGCATCTGTCACCACCAGAGTTGTGTTTGTTTTCATGGAAAGGAAATCTCAGAGGGGCTGAACTTTCATTAAATCTGTCATTAAAGAATTATTTAAGTAATCTATAAAGCAAAAATACCTAACTTATACTGGTTTTCACTTCTCAAATGTGAATATTTGTATCTGTTTTATATCATTGTAAATTGAATATTTTCAGGTTTTAGACTGTTCGTTGGTTGAAACAAGCAAACTCAAGAGTCATGGATTTTGAATTTCCCTAGTTTCAATTAATTTTGAAAAAAACAATTGGTAGAAAATGTGTTTTCACAGCCTACACATGTATAAATGTGTTTGACATGGAAAGCACACAGATATACTCAATTTACACAGTATACATATGGTAACATGTAAACATCCCCTCATATCTTATAATAATAATCGTGAGTGCACTCCTGCATCAAAGGAATATAAAGAAATCAAGATTTGCAGGAATTATATCAGTGAGCCTCCATCATTGAGACCTCTCCAACAAAAATCTCTTCTTCACTGAATCCCTCCCAGCTCCACGAGACCGTGCACTCTGACCTTCTCTAAGGAGGGGACACACAAAAAGAGACTCTCCCTGATGGGATCAGTTGCATCACATTAAATAAACTGATGCTGAACCTGATTTTCTTTACACGTCAGATGGACTAACAAACTGACGCCTGTTGCTTGGTGAAAGGTGTCCCGGGACGAGGTGTCAGCAGATGAACGTGGAAGGCCTGCGATGTGAGAGCGGGGATGAGCGAGCAATGGTGACCAGCCCTCCCAGGTCGCCCCGCTCCCCGCAGACAGAGCTGAGGGACCGCACACCCTCTCCACCCTCCGGACCTAATGACACCAGCGGCAATGGGCCCGTGTGGACGGACGACGCCGGCCTCGACAACCCTGCCTTTGAGGAGAGCACGGAGGAAGAAAGTGAGTGGATCCGCTGGCCTTGTACGAAGTGAAGAGATTTAGGTTCTTAATGCAGTTTAGATTGAGATAAAAATGATGAGAAACAGAAGAAATGGCATCCCCGTCTTCATGCCCCTCTGTCTCTAGGTGTGATAAGGTTGGAGTGTGTGGTCCCCAGGGTGAAGCGGCCCCTCAGCAATCCCTGCATCCACCTCCTCCGCTCTGTCAGCTCCACCTCCTCCGGCTGGGACTGCCCCGAGTCTCCGCCTCTCTCCGCTGAAGAGGGTATGACATCACTTCCTTTGTTTATCTGAGCATCTTCCTAAAGGGCTGAATACTAGAGATCGGAGATATTGCAGCTTCTCGCGTTGTAAGAGCTGTAATCTTAGACGACCGGATAATCACATTCCGGCAACGTTAGGAAGATGTGGAAATTAGATTTTGAAATGCAGCTGTGTAATGTCATCTGTTTGTCCATGAAGGCTGTGTGAAGTTGCCCTCGCTTCCTGAAGGAGAGATAACTGCCATTGAGGTCCACCGGGCGAACCCGTATGTTGAGCTGGGCATCAGTGTGGTCGGGGGAAATGAGACGCCTCTCATCAACATCGTGATTCAGGAAGTGTACAGAGACGGGGTCATCGCACGAGACGGGAGGCTGCTGGCCGGGGATCAGATACTACAGGTAAAACACGACTGGGCCGATTTAGGGCTTCGTTTGAATTATTAGTGGTTGTTATCTCTCAAGATTTGGTTAACAGTAGCTGTTATGGCAGACAGTAGTACAGTATTGTATAATATAATCGTGATTTACTACCTTTTGTGTGTATTTGAATTATTTCTTTCTATCCTATACCTCGCAAACTATCTTGTTCACTGTCTCCTAAATCTATTATCATCCTACCTATACTATTTAAAGGTACTCTAATCAATATTTTTATATTCATAATGGATCACATTACTACTTGTATGTGAGAGGGGTGGCTCATAAAGTCAAATACACAGAAAAGGGGTCATCCAGCTCTGCAGTTTCTCCTCGACTCTGAGGAGCGTTTTAGCATCTTGAGCTCATTGTTTTGGTTTTAAAGCCCACAACTTTAATGTTTTGTTTCACTCTCACCGCTTTCATCAACCTTATTCTCAGTCGCAGCAGACAGCTGTTTTCAGGAAGGCAGACAATCTAAGACTGCCTGGTGAAGATAGTGGAGCATTTAGCAACTAAAGAACCAAATATTTTTCTCAAAACAAAAATGTGAGTGAATATTGGACTTACATTTGTAAGAAGACTTCAAAAGAATGCTAATGCCATTGACCAAAAAATCAATTAATGCAGGTTTAAACACTAAATGACCATAATTTCATCTGACTTATTTTTCTCCCAAGGTGAACAATGTGGACATCAGTAACGTCCCCCACAGTTTGGCCCGCTCTACACTGGCACGCCCGTGCACCACTTTGCAGCTGACTGTGCTCAGGGAGCGTCGTTGTGCCTCCCGGGCACCTCCCTCCTCTTCCTCCTCCACCCCGGCTGTGCCCCACGCCCCTTGCTCCACCCCTGAGGGCGCCCCGTCCAGCCCTGCTACCCTGAGAATCACCCTACACAAGAGGGACTCCGCAGAGCAGCTTGGCATTAAGCTGGTAAGGCGAACAGATGAGTCAGGAGTGTTTGTGTTGGATCTGTTGGAGGGAGGCCTGGCAGCGAAGGATGGCAGACTGAGGAGTAATGACCGTGTGTTGGCGGTCAACGACCAGGACCTACGCCACGGCACCCCGGAGCAGGCTGCACAGATCATACAGGTGGGGGTTTCACTAAGTCACTCAGGCTTCTTTTGGTATTAGTTAGAAGGAAAAACATGAACAACAAAGTAGAAAATGTGAGTGAGAAGTAAGGTCCCTAAAAGACTCAAACTCTGTCTTCGTAGGCGAGTGGAGAGCGAGTCCACCTGCTGATTGGCCGACCCACCAAACCAACTCCTCCTCCACCGCAAAAGTCAGGCTTCACCAGAGACCTCTACTGCCTTGATCACTTCCTGCCTAACCACAGCGCTACCCCGAGCCCTGTGCCAATACACCTCTCCCGCACCAGCACTCACAGAGTGAGCGAACGTGTTGTGTGTGTGTGTGTTTGTCCACATAGGTCCGATTGTGTATTTGGGGGTATTTTGACAGTTTTATATGATTTTGCATCACCGACATGTAAGTGTTGGCATTTTAATATTACGTTGGAGGAATGTAGTTAATAATGCAGTGTGATCAGGGCTCATTATTTTTTCTGTTTTTTTTTTTTGTCAAATAATTTATTGCTATTTAGTTCAAATATGGAATAGCAGGTGAATTTCAGTGAGAAAAACAGACTTTGAAACATTTAATTAGTATTAAAAACACCATTTGTTTTTATACTTTTAGGGACTCGTCTGCGTTTTCCCCCCACTTTTTATTTAATCAGTTTAAACAAGTTGGCTCCTTTGAAAGGTGTGGGTAATGTTTGGTGAAAATGAGTAAAAACGGACAACAATGCATAGAGTAAGTATATGCATTTTCTGTGTTAGTGACTGAAACTGTGTTTGTTTGTGCGTGTGTTGCCTCTGTGTGATTATACCCAGGACCTTTCCCAGTGTGTGACCTGTAAAGAGAAACACATCACTGTGAAGAAGGAGCCCCTCGAGTCTCTAGGCATGACTGTTGCAGGAGGGCGGGGCAGTAAGAGCGGGGAGCTGCCGATCTTTGTGACCAGCGTCCAACCACACGGCTGCTTGTCGAGGGACGGGCGAATCAAACGAGGTGAGCACTCCCTCAGAAATGACAAGAACAGGACCAATTTCATATCAAAAACATTGCATCAGAAACTACAGCGTCTTCTTCCTCTCTCATCCAGGTGATGTCCTGCTGAGTATTAACGGGCAGGACTTAACGTACCTGAGCCACAGTGAGGCAGTGGGCACCCTGAAGGCCAGCGCTGCCTCGCCCTCGGTGCAGCTGCGGGTGCTGGAGGTCAGCATGGTGGAAGAGCTCGACCCCGACGAGCTGCTGCCTCACACACATGACAGTGACTTCGATGCCAACTGGTCCCCTTCGTGGGTCATGTGGCTGGGCTTACCCAGGTGAGTGCGTGATTGTTCGGGATTTAAATGGGCTTTTGTGCTGTTTGAATATTATGACGATGTAATGCTTTGATGCATTGATAAGACTTGCTATGAATACCTTTACAGGCCATCCTGAATGTACTTGTTGTCATGTGAGGTTGTAGTAATGATTGGGTGTCATGTTGAACTCTGACACAAGCATGAACAGGTTTCTACCTGCTTCAGACTGATACTGAGAGTGCTTCCTCTATTTTTCACTTTTTCTTCTTGGTGCCTGGATGATATTAACATATGAGATGATAAACATGTTTTTTATATATACATATATATATATATATATATATATAAGCAGCAAATACACGGTGAGATGTTGCCAACATCACACGTCACCATATATATATATGTATATCAGTGCATGATATTGTTTGTCCATGTTAATTATTCACATTTTCAGGCTTGGACTGGACTTTGGGCTAGTTGTTACTTCGATTGTCTGGTTAGATATCATTTTATAATTAATGCAATTATTTATTTATTTTTATATTATTACAAATAAAAATGTTATTGTTTTTTTTTTTTAATAAGGGTATCATGGTCTATTCAACTGGATGAAAACAATGTTTCCTGTAGGTTTTAGAAATGTTTTATAAATGCATGCCCCACATGCAGATATTTTCCGCTTTTAATAGATTTTAAGAGTCACAATAGACATTTATTAAAATATGAAGCATCAACTTTGCTTCTTGAAAGACAGAGACCATCTGTACTATCACTTCTCTCTGTTCTCCTCCTGCAGCTACCTGCACAGTAGTCATGAGATTGTACTGCGGAGGAGCCACCCGGGCAGCTGGGGCTTCAGCATCGTAGGGGGATACGAGGAAAGTCACGGCAACCAGGCGTTCTTTATCAAGACCATCGTCCTCGGCACACCTGCGTACTACGACGGCCGCCTCAAGTGAGTCATCAGTTGTTCATCACGTGACAGGCTGCGGCTTCCATTAGCGGTGAATTAGCAGGTAGATAAACTGACCTCCAGTTGGTGATTGATAAGGGTGGCGTGATGATAAGCCACGCCTACTGAGTTTATTACATTACATTTTGTTTGGTTTCTTATTTTCTGTGTTAACTATTTATTTTAGAACTATACCTTTTAATATGAAACAACTGCAAGTTGATCATTAAAATTCATTATTTTTGTTTGAGTAGTTCGAGACTAAAATGCTCAAACAGACATTTTGGGTCCTGCATTTGCGTATCAGTTGTAAAAGGTTAAAATATTCACCGTACTCTTATTTTTCTCTCTTAAATATTGTTTCATTTTTGTTTTGAACTTGATAGGCATGCCATGTTTGCTCTGTCATCAGGTATCTTATCTATTGTCATAATGCAATCAGCTACCAATAAAACAAAAATGATTCAGTTTGACATATGATAGGAATATAACTTATTATAAAATCATATAAATGCATTATCTATCTTAGGTTCAAAACAAGGTAAACACTGTTCTGCATTTCAAAAGTAGAGGTAGAACATTTAGTGAGTAGACACTTCTCTGGAGGATTCACTAATTTATCAGAAAGTTTTACATGTCCCAAAGATATATTTCTGTTCAATTTAAATTGCCACAACTGAACTGGGGTTATATTTCTCTGTATATTGTCTGTCTCGCAGTAAAGAAAATACATTATGGACCATTACCTTCTAAAATAATTAAAAGCTAGTCTATTTAGATTTGATGTTTTTCTTATTGCCAACAAATCCCACCAAAACACAACAATAAATTGACCCTACTAAAACGTATAAGTAGCCAAAGCTTGATAATCCTGTGTGCCATTGAGCTCCATTGTTGTCCAAAAACTATTAGAAACACACCAATAAGCACCGTTGCACTGAGTGACATGTTCTGTCATTATAATGAACACGTTTATTTTCAGTCAATCTTACATACACCATCCTGCTGTCAGAAATACTCACTAGAATACTAGACGTGCATTTGCTCTATTATTTGCTCTTGTTTAAGTGATTTTTGCAGAAATGTATTGTTCCCATCTATTTTAGAAACTTACTTAACCTATTAAAAATTAAATATACTTATAAAAGATTTGTCTTTGTAGGATTGAACAGACTCAGGGCTGAGAGCCAAAGAAAGGATCAGAAAGTACATTTGTGGTCTAACTAAGTGCAACCAAAAATGTGTTACAGTATATATTTATATGATTATTTCTGTGATTTATCAAATTACGTTTGGTCTAAATGTTAGGAAATGTTCGTCACAATTTCTCAGAGGTGGTCTTTAAATCGGCTGTTATATCTGATTAACAGTCAGATATTCACTTATCAGAGAAAACCATTTTAAAAAACAGTAAATATTCCCATATGAGATGCTGGAACTTATTCATTTGAGTTTTTGCTTAAAAAAAAAAAAAAAAGTTACCATCGATCGATTAATGGACACCAAATATCATTCCATAATGTAGAGCTGTTTGAATGGCATGTCACGTTTAATATACATACTGACTTGTGGTGTCTCTCTAGGTGTGGGGATATGATCGTGGCAGTCAACGGCCTGTCGACAGCAGGAATGAGCCACTCGGCGCTGGTGCCCATGCTGAAGGAGCAGCGCAGCCGGGTGGCGCTTACTGTGGTCTCCTGGCCTGGCAGCTTGGTATAGCCGGGCCAGACCATAAGCAGGCTGCGCACCACACAGAATGTTCTATATTGGGAACGACCTTGGCCAAAGTGAACTGGTAAACGCTACTGTACATCGCTCCATAACGGGCTTAATCCAGGACCAAAAGCATTCAGAACTGTAATAGACCCAGCAGGACCAAGCCTGTCCTGTCGGGAACTGATCCAGATCGTGGCACGTCACTCGACAGACTGCACTCACAAACACACTGCTGTGTTCATATGGTCATGTTGTCATCACTCCCGCAGGGAGAAATGGTACTGCAACTGTTGAACAGGCGATCAGTGCTGTGCTCACCTCACCAGGCAGTTGTAGAATCCAGGGCTGTATCCATTCAGCTGGATGCATCGTTGCAGGTAGAGATAGAATATTAAAACTTAAAAAGTAGCCTTTGATCCTCTGTCAGAGGATAACAACCTGTAATCACTAGATTTTCTGCAACATCAGCGTTGCATCCAGCTGAAGAAGCCTCAGGCCTTATTAGAAACCTGCCGCACCCTGGGGGCTCGACTGCCCGAAGGCCTCATCACCATGACAAACCAGCTGTCACATCAGCCGGAGTTTTATACATGTGTGTGAATGTGTGTTCTGATTGTTTAATAAACATTTCCTTCGAAGGATAAATGGCTCCACAGCGTGCTTTTAAACCTTGCTGGTGGGAATTCTCAGTTAACATGCTTATATGAAAGAGGGCTAGTATAGTGCTGCATTAACAAGGCTTTATTTTCACAAACAAAGTATATTTAACAAAAAATTATGGGATTTGCGTCACCATTAATTAACCCATCCAAGCAGATATTCATATAATGCAGCCTCAAGATGTCTCGTCCTTTAAAGTTGTATTGCGCAGCTCCTCAGCAAGCTCGTTGGTCTCTGCTCGTTTGGCTGCAGCTGCCACACTGACCTGCAGAGCCAGACGCCAGGGCTGGTTCTTTTTAGGATGCAGTTTCTGCAAGGGGCGACAAAAATAAAAATACTTACAAGGACGAGGCAAGAAAAGACAAACTCACTGTTAAAAAAAGAAAACCAGAAACAAAAGTTGACAAGGACACATTACCTTCAGCTTTTTCTTTGCTGGGTCATGCACCGCTCCATGTCGCCACAGGCTCTCCTGATTAATAATGAGAACAGTTACCAACTACACTGCATCAGGAATGCAATAGATCAAGACAAACAAAACATCAAGCAACAGACACGGTGCGTCTAACCATGTGTATAGTTTCAGTTTTTAATGTGCTCATTTTTTTTTTTTTTAATATCTGCCAGTTGCAACCATGAAAGTGTAATACTGCAATATGCAGTTAAAAAAAAAAAAAAAAAAAAAAAAAAAAAAAAAAAAAAGTTCCAGATAAAAACTGTTCTCCATCTGGCAAGGTCAAGCTCATCATTGCTGCCATTAAAGATGTAGTTTCTCTGAGCACCATTAACTAAATATATTCACCTCTTGTTGTATTGGGGTTGCAGCAAAGTGCCAATGTGCAGATGTCAAAGCTTTTAGCAAGTAAATGACAAACTATTACCATGACCGCATCCCACTAGTTAGAGGATGTAGTTTGTGATTTAGAGCAACACTTAATATCATTGAATTAAAGTGAAAGTTTACCTTCATGGCGAAGCTTTTCTCACAGCCAGCATATGCACAGCTAAAGGGCTTCTTGCCCTCATGGTCTCCCAGCACATGATTCTCCAAGTTGAAGCGACGAGTGAACTTTTTACCACAGTCTCTCTTTGGGCACAACAGCTTCCTCCTCTCCCCGGAGTGGACACGCAGCTCATGCTGGCGCAAGAACCACGCATTGTTGAACAGCTTTTCACACTCTCCACACGGCACCTTGACTGAGAGCAAAGTCATTAAAATACAGTTGCTTTGCGTCATGAGTCGCAGGGTATACATGCGATGCACCGCAACACCTTACACATTCATACCTTTATGTTCTTTTCTGTGCTTCAGATATTCTGTCCAAGTCTTTCCCTGGAAAGGACATGCTTCAATCTCACAAGGGTAACCTGCAGCAGAGAGTTTTGTTAAACACATGCCAATTCATTTTTTTTTTTTATAAAAAGCTTCTGATCATCAACCAACCTTCATGCACTTTCACATGATGCTTTAGTTTTCCATTAGAGGGAAGTTCTCTTGTGCAGCCACTGATAGTACAACTACATCAAAAGATAAATAAGATTTGGTTTGAGATGGCCAAGAACAGATACAAAGCTCAGTTATTCTTGCATCGGATGTTTAGCCGCTCACCGAAACAGCAGAAGCTGGTGTTGCTCACACTTATGGGCCTTCAGTTGGTTCCTCTTGTTGAAATCCCTTCCACAGCCCTGATGGTCGCACTGAAAGACAATAGGCCCAAAAGCAAGCCAGTGCAGCTTAGTAAAACCCAACGAGAAAAAAGCCAAACAGAAGAAAACATTAAGATGATTGTACTTGATATCGCTTCTCCTGGTGCTGGTGCACTCGAGCCATGTGGTTCTTCATGCTGGCATTTGTGACAAAGACCTCAGAGCATCCGTCAGCCAGACACCTGGAGACCAGAGCAGGTAACCGTTCAAAGCAAACACAAAGGTTACATTTTACCATTTCAAATAGTGAATATAGAGGCTTACTTGTGTGGTTTCTCCCCACTGTGATTGAGCGCGTGTCTGGTGAGTTGATAACGAGTGCAAAAGCTCTTGTCACAGTTCTCACAGGAGAATGGTTTCTGAAGTTAGGGAAACATTTGACACATAATCCCACCAATTAAAAACACATGAACTGTTACGATGTGTCCACTTGGTCTTTCTCGTGTCGTGTGCTCCGTTTGGCTTCTAGTAGTTCACTTACCAATCCAGTGTGTTTGCAAAGATGAGCCTCTAGCTTCCATGACTTACTGAATGTAGCTTGACAATCAAAAAAAGAGCAAACGTAGCTTTTTTGACTTCCCAACCTCTCCCCCATCTTCAATAAGAGATCCTAGATGTGGCTTTGTGGTCACAGACAAAACTAGTTGTAAAGGGGCAGGACACTTACTGACCTACAACCAGCAGCTCACCTGTGCTTCATTTAACTTATTGGACCGTACCAATTAGAGCAGGAGAGGGGGTGTCCTGAAACTGAAGAATATGCAATAGATTTGAGATGTAATGATCTTTACTGCAATAAATGGATATGCAAAACTTTACACACCTTTTAAAACTAATGTTCAGCTGTGCAGGATTGTAGCACAGGTGATGCATGTAAGCTGCTAGAAAATTATTTAGGCCACTGAATTTAATAGTGATCCCACTGATCACTATTTCCTCCACATTGATTGATTGAGGCTTTAAAAATGTCACCCAGGCTCCTTGCAGTATAGGATATGTGTCCCTATCTGCTGATCTGCTGTGTGTACATGGTGCGCAAGTAGGGAGAGAGGCGACTGTCTGTCTCCATTAATCACACACACACACACACAGACTTTACTGCTCTAATCTTAATCTTATCAATGCTCCAGTATTGTTTTCTGATAGCTGTGATTTATTGTTGTCAGAAAATAGTCTTCAGTGAGATCCTTGGTGACCCACAGATGTGAAGCTAAATCAACCTTTCTCAGCTGTTAGAGCGGCACTGTGTTTGAAAGAAGAAATGGCACATTCTTCCTCTTACAAATGGAAAATTCAATTCACAAGCAATGAGACCCACCATTGTTAAATGCACTACACTGAGGGGGCAAGCTGCTACAGCCTTACATGATCTGGTATGATCCGTAGCTAATGTTAGATAACTTTAGGCACATTTTGCTGCATGACACATAGCTAAATGCTTTACAGTAGTTTGTGTTGAGAAAAGGTCACACAGTCTAACATTAAAGCTAAACTAACTTTAGCTGAACAGCAGCCACTGTGGCCACAAGTAACAAGAACAGGATAGTAGCTAAAACTTGGTGTAACAGTAGCTTAAGTAGAGAAGAGTCATAAAAACAGCAAAGTGACTCAGTAACTGACTCAGTTATACAGCAATATCTCTCTAAGTTAACTTAAATTAGCTAACATTAGCCATTAATGGTCATAAATGCTAAAACTATGTAACTTTTTTACTGGTTACATGCTAAAACATTGTGTAACAGTAGAGAAAATTCATCAAATCATCAAAACAGCCAGTTAGCAATGTCTGCTTAAAGTTTGCTAACATTAGTTAAGATTAGCCATAAACTAGCCCACTGGTCATACCAGACCAACTTTATGAATTCAACTTTTCATTTGTAAGAGCTATTTTGTCTTTCAAAAATGAAAAAGAGTCGCTTTAAGTAAAGAAATAATGCAACATTTTTAAGGCTCTAGAAATAAAGACAGAGACTGACAATCCGATAACACTATCTGCTTGTCCAAACATTAGAGATCACCCTCTGAGCCCATGCCATGCTCTCATGTGAAACCTTTGACTGACTTTTGTGAATAAGGCCTATTGAGAGCCTGTTGGGCGTTACCCCGGTGCCCTCCCACGCTTCAGGTAAGCATGCCTGGGTCAGTTGAGACCATTATCAGCCTCCTGCTCTTCTCATCCGGTCCCTCCCACCCCCTCCCCTCCACCTCTGCTGTCAGGGCCGGGATCAATACAGCTGGCCCAATATCCACATATATGACCATGCCCCCCCCCCCGCGTCTCTGATAACCACACAGACTATCACCCCACCTATCACACACAGAGATACAGCATGCACTCTGTTTGGCCTGCTGTGGGATTTCCTTGTGCCTTTGTCAAAGCTCCAGGCCTTTCCCAAACACACGCACACACATCATGTGGACACACGCTGTCTCACCCACGCTTTCATCACTGTCACAGATATTACTTTCAAGACCGCTGAGAGTCTTTTTTTCTTCAAAGAGTAGGAGAGTATGATGAATGGTGAGGCCTTGGAGGGAGGTATAGAGAACAGATACAGAAAATAACATTGTCTCATTAGAAAGTAATGACATCTCATATGTGGTGGATTTTTCAGGTATTTGTAGTTTAGTTCAGTATTTAATTTGATGCTACTATAGTGTACTTATATTCCATTTAATATCAGAGGGAAGTATTGTACATTTTACTCAACAACAGGTATCTTCTAAATTATATAGTCCATATGAAAAACTGTTTCTGACAGTAGAAATTACTTTAAGATTGAACTTAATCAGCTCAACCTAGACCTGCCACAACACTGAATTACTGCTAATGAATGCATCAACAAGAACAATAATCAAGTGGTCCGATCAATTTAATTTATCACAAGTGTACCTCAAGGGGCTTTATAATCTTTATTATATGTAAATGATCATGCATGTATTAGAACACTGGGTCCATTCTGCATTACGTGTACGTTTGTGGATTATTTGGAATAACCAGGAGACCGTTTGTGGAAAGTCACATTGCTGTTGAAATGTTTCAATGCTTTGAGCAGCTCAAATTAAATCTCATTGATCTCCAATGTCCTCAGAGAAATCTCAGAGACTTGTCTCCAAAAAAAAAAAAAAAGGGCTTCAAATGTCTACGTGTTTTTGTGAACACTAGAAAAAAGTGTGAAAAACATTTTTGAAATTTGGGTGAACCTGCTCTTTACATTAGGTGTGATCAGGGGTGAGGTAGAAAGGCTGATAATTGTGAAATTTCATATAATGCAACATTTCCACACTCAACTCCTCTTGCATCAGCGGTGTCCACATCCAATTATCTACTCTTTGTGTGTGTGTGTGTGAGTGTGTGTGGTTAATATGTAACACTTGGGGTCGATGCGGCTGCTGGCTGAGCTGACAGACTCAATCTGTGTGTGTCAAACATGTGTGATTAAGGAGTTCATAGTGCTCCACGGCTTTTATCCACCATCCTTGTCTTTCTGCCCTCCTCCCTCTCACTTGCTTTCTCTCTCTCTCTCTCCTTCTCTGTTTACTTTTTCTTCCTTCAATCAGTAACTTCCATGAGTCAGTGCCACACATGACACTCTGGTGTATCTGTGAGAAAACACACGCACAAAGGATGTACTGTAGATGTATAGACAGGGCGGATATCATATTATGTATAATGAGAAAATGTATAGATTCCTGCAAATTGAAACAATAGAATACATGATTGATTTTCAATCCACTATTTGCTTTAATTGATGATGACATCTACCATTGATAAAAACTGTGGGAATATACTCAACCGTAGAGGCCCCACTCGCCTTATCTAAATACTATACGACTGAAATCCAGATCAATACCAAGGGCTTTGGCTGCCATCACGCTCATTGATTGATTGCATTTTATTTTTCCATCTGTTTTTTCCTGGTTCTCCTCAGGTTGTTGGATACTTATTACTCTGTCCTGATAAGACCCGTGTCTGAGTTCCCTGACCTACAGGGTTGTGAGCTTGAAGAAAGACTCAACAGCATTTTACAGGAGATTACAACATTCATTTAGAGTGTTTGAGGAGACTTCGCTTCCTCCACATATATGGGAGATATTTTCTACTCCCAAGAAAATTCAAGTGACGCTTCCACAGAAATGAAATATAATCCTGAGACTGATTTCTCCGTCCTGAACTACACACACACACTTCATGCTGTCAGCTGCTCCCTATCTCTGTAAACTGGTCCTAATTTGTGTAAATATTGGGTAAAGTACTGAGGTGCGATGAGATAACCTATTTGTCACATAACCAGCCAGCCATTCAGCCTCCACTGATTAAACAGCAAACATCAAGTGGTCCACACACACACACACACAGTATAACAGGCAGTTTTCATCTCACACACGCAAAGGTATGACTGTTATATGGATTTTATTGTTAGTCAGAGAAAAGAACTGAATAAAAAAACAAAATGTACTTAAAGAATGTAAGAATTTCACCAAAATGTGACTTTAAATGATGAACCACGATAACTTCTAGGACTCATTTACAATCAACAAAAAAGTTGTTAAAAATTGCAGTCGATGACACAGAAATATTTAGAGACATACCTAACATTATAGAATATTTCATGTTGTAATTTGATCTCAGAAGTGGACTACGCCTCTCTAGTTACTATTTTGATTAATTAAATGTGAGTGTTTAAAATTGCTAGTCTCTTGTATAAAATGTAAATTTTGCAACTCACAGAATTGTTTTGACAAATCCTCAGAGTAAGTTGAGTGTTCTGTCAGTTGTAAACCATAAACATAGTGCAAAGAAAAAAAAATACTGAATCCATGGACTGGATTATGATTGTACGTATTGATCTTGGCAGTGATGGATGATATATACAGATTTATAAAACATCCTCTATAAGAGCAGCAGTGAATATTTTGGTGTTAGGTTATTGACAGTGTTCGACAAAATATGGTTCACAATTCTGATCATTAATCCCCACAACTAACATCCCATCTCAGTTTTCTACAGCAAGGTCACTGTTGTACAGCAAAGGGCCTGATTGATTCAAATTCGACCCATGTCCCGGTGCACACTGCCACCTACTGCTCAGTAGAAACTCTACCTACGGCATCCACTACAAGAGTGGCCCAAACTTATATATAAATATGTATTCTTTGGCCAACATGTCCACATCGGTTTGAGGTGCATACAATCACTGATCAACCCCATAACATCCAGTTTCATTTTATTTCCCTTTTTAGTAGTTTTAAGGTTGATAAAAACAAAACCCTTATTCCACTGTCAGACAGCATAACACATTCTCTGAATCAAACTGTTACTTCAGGTTATAGGACGTTGACACAGTTTACTCTGGTTATAACATCCAATAAGCCATTTGTCTCGTGTATCATTGCTCCATAATTCAGGCTGCTGTGTGGCATATTTTGAAACTCCAGAACCTCTAATAAGAGTTCAATATAGAGCTGTGTGGGATTGAACAATGTTTTACTCAACAGCAGGAGTTTGTAGTGGCTCGCCCACTAGCGGGTTAATGAGGATCAACTACAAGTAGCCCTCTGAAACCGAGGACACCATCATGCTGTCTTATATCAGCTCGACTGAGTATTGCACAACCACACGAGTGCTTTTAACTGCTGTATCTGATCGGACCCCTACTCCGATTCAAACATGAATGCTAACAAAAAGTAGGCCATCTTACTTTAACAGATCCAACAGGAGTGGTTGTGGTCTGTACATATCCAGAGAGGTCTTATGACATTAACAATGCCTTGATTCTACTCAAGTCAGAGGTAAAACTAAAGCAGCTCAATGGAATTCAGCTATATTTGCATTACTTAACACCTGTGCTTTTCATGTCTTCAGTAGAACTTTACTTACCAACACAGCAAGACCTCAAAGAAGTTAAGTTAACACCTGCGTGTGTAAGGCCTTTCATTGCTGCAAGTCAGTGAGGAGAAGGCAATGGCTGCTTATTGACAGTGCAGATGAGAGAAACCTTGTAGACCCGACAGGTCTTAGTGTGAGGACGTGAGATGCTTGTGACATGTGCGCCGTCACTCTCAGATCGCCAGTGAAATAAAAGTGCGTTTGATTTCATTTGAAACTCAAAAGGAGGAGAATCATCACTGAGTGACAGCACATCATGATAACTTAACATAATGCAAAATGTGTGAACAGATGACAACATGGCAAGCAGCGTGTGTACAAATGTTTTTTTATTTTAGTGAGCACTTTATGCCATGAACTCATAGGGGATGGGCTCCAGCAGCTGTGGCTGGTTTTTCTTGGTGCTGACAAAGTGAGCGTCACGGGGAGCAGCCGGCTGTAGAGACGAGAAGGATTATGAGATGATCAAACAATAATCAATAAAAACACACATTTTTTAAAAAGACAATTTTTTGCAAATAGTTACAACTTTTTCTAAACTATTAAGTTTAATTCATTCACAACATACTCTAAAATATACCATTGGGACTTTTATGCTTTCCCATTTAATAGTCCACAAAGTATGATCTGTTTTAGGTTCATCTACACTTTAAGTGACAGTAAACATCACTGCAACTGAATGAATTCACCATGACATAATTAATTCTGGTTTAAGAAGTGGTAAAACACTCTTGGATCATTTCATACCTGTCGCTTCAGTTCCACCCAGGTGCCCATCTGCTTGGCCTCCATCTTTTTGGCCTCGTTGGCTTTGACGCGCTGCAGGAAACTGTCCCTGCTCTTTGAGTGCTTCACATGCTCAATACGCACGTTGATCCTCTTGGCCAGGATCCTGCCCCTGTGACAGGCGAAAACATCAATGAGTCCATATTAAAAGCAAACGCATAACTCCACAGGTAGCTTTAGCTCAAAATAGAAAGTAAAGCTGTTTTAATATCTGCATTTGTCTCTGCTGTCTCCTCAGTACAGCCCCATGTCAAACAGGAGTTAGACTGGGGTGCTTAAGGATAAAATAATTTTCCCCACGTGAATGACCACTGAGGACATGAACAATCCTGGTGGCAAAGTGAAGATGGGGTCATATTGTCTGTTTTTCATTTTTTTCCCGGTGAAATATCTGTTTGTTCTGTAAACCTACAGACTGAACTAACACCACTATTGTGATAGCCAATAAAGACTCAGACGCCAAAACATTAGTTCTACGTCATTTGATTCCACACTTTGAGAACTACTGTTCTAGATGAAGAGTTTGAGCAAGGACACACCAAAGACTGAAGCCAAGATTTACAAGTTGCAGTAAAAATGGAAAGGTTTTAACAACAATCTGAAGGATTGTAAAGAACAGATTAATGTAACTTTGGTACACATAACTGTTAAGTTTGATTTGTGGCCGCTTATGTATGAATACTATATTGTATGACATTCAACGATTAACGGATGAATGAAATCTATAGAGAAGCGACGCACAATGCAGATAATAAAATGTATAGCGGTGTATTTCTGATAGGTATGAATGTTTGACATTAACACACAGGCCCATTGCAACGACACTGAATGTAAACAAAGCAGCTCTAAAAACCTCTCTCTACAGCTAACTTTGATTATAACTAATTATATAATATTTCCTTATATGCCAGTGATTCAGACCAAGATGTGCATGTATAAATTAGGAGTTTGGCCTTTGAGTATGCAGCCTGTTTTGATAAGATGTGGTCTAGATTTTGGCCATGTCGCGCAGCCGGAACACCACCGTTATCTGGATTCAGTGGGTTTAACATTTGAGAACTGGTCAACAAATCACAAAGCGTGATCCTCGTAATCCTCACTACGAGAATGGAAGTCTTTAAATAATTGCTTATTAGTCTGAGGAAGTTTTAAGTCATTTGGTGTGTTCAAGCTCAAAGTTACACAAGTATGAACATTCAGATATCACAAAATAACAACCACTTCCTACTTACTTGACCTGCTTGTTGACAATAATGCCGACAGCATGTTGGGTTACATTGTAGACACGTCCTGTCTTGCCATGGTAGCACTTGTGAGGCATTCCCTTCTGGATGGTACCTGTACCCTGAAAAGAAAACAGCAAGTTACAATGTATTCAGCAACAACAAAGTCACCATGTTAGTTAGTCGCCACAGTACGGAACCAAGACGCGTTTCATAAGTGAGTTCACACTGAGTTTAAGTAAAACTGTCTCAATAACAAACTTTGCTCTAATATAGAAAATGACTGTGCACCTTGCCCAAGTCCCTTCAGTCTTTCATTGCAAATCTGAATTTGCCATGCAGTTTAAATTAATTACCACCCAATCAAGGATACTAGCCAACACACATGCTGTGACCTACCTTGATGTCAACGATGTCTCCCTTCCTGTAGATGCGCATGTATGTAGAGAGGGGAATTGGGCCTGTGAAGCAAATGCAGTTAATCAATTAATGTTATTTAGCAAAAGAGGTGGCAGTAATCCTACATACCAAATTCCCTCCATTACATTAGTAAAAAGGGGATTACACTCAAAGGGTGGTGGGATATAAAATGCCTTTAAATGTGTACTCACCATGCTTGCGGAATGGCCTGCTGAACATGTACCTGGTCCCCCTCCTCTTGCCTCTGGTGTTCGTCATGATGCCTGATTACTAAGAGAAAATACACTTCAGTTAGTCATGACAAGGCCTTTGAGCTTTCTTCCAGTGTAAATGTTCAACAGATGGAAAATGGCATGTATCCATTATAACATCTACTTAATTTATCCCCATTACACGCACATTATGGACAGTTTTTAATTTGATTCAACACATATCAAAGCTAATTGCACGGACTGACTATGAGAAGATATACTTATGTAAAGGCTCGCAACGAGATACATCTCTCCCACTCTCCCCCTAGGTAGCACCGTATTTGCAATGTTTAGTTTCGTCGAAAACGCTCGAATATCCACGACAAATGTCACGTTATGAGCGTTACAGCGGCTGCAAGTAAGTAATAGCAGAATACTGTGTATGCTAAACGGGCCCGCATGGAGAGCCACGCTGCTGGTCCTGCTCACATTCAACGGAAAATATCCCTCGATACACCGATTTTCAAGCGTTATTAACCCACTGAGATGTAAGGGAAATCCGTAGGACACATTTTAATCTAACCATGTACGAAATGTATAGTAATAAGGTAGAAAAAAAACAATTAACAGGGAGAGGATCTTACCCCCGGTCTCTACAAGATGGCGGGTGTGGCGGAAAGAGAGATTGAAAGACCCCAAACTCCGCCTTGTGAAATGTCTATAGACTGCAGGGCAAGCCGTGATATTGCCTGAACCAAATAAATCAGCTCATTCACGAATTACTATACAGAATAACATCTGCCGCCGTTTCAGTACGCGAACTGGTCCTAGTGTTATGCTGCAGTCTATGGTTATGTTCTATAATGTTTCTGTGATTTTATAGTTTAGTGTGGAACTCAGTCTACTAAATGACAAGATGAAATATGATCAGGCTGCTGAAAATCCAATCATTGTTAAAAAAAGAAAATTGTAGATATTTTTCCACTGCTATTCCTGATGCGCATGCGCAAAAGTTCCGTGAGGCTAAGCTTGATTTTTCAAGTTACGTATAGTGACGTTACTATATCGAATATTTTGACGTTATGTAACTTGGCTTCGACAACTGCGTTTTTCTTAGAAGCTTATGAGTGTCTAAATGTGTCACACTATATAACTTAAAACAAAGCGAACCGCTTTACTGTGCACTTCCGACCGTGATTAACTGAAGACGGAAACAACAAGCAGTGAATGCTCTCGTTTTCTTCAGCCGTTGGACCTTTTCGTCGCGAGCTCAGCATTATCGCTTGCCTTGCCTCACGAGGGAACCAGCCCAGCCCAGTCTTGTCAGCGCGCGGCGGTGGTTGAAGATGGCGCTAGCCGAATGGAAATCCTAATGACAGTCTCCAAATTTGCCTCTTTTTGTACCATGGTGAGTACACGACAGTCTGAAACTGGCATGACTCAGGCTACAAGGTGACACAGAAACAGTTGCTCCACTCTGATTGGCCTTCAAACCATGTTATTAAACATATAAGCAGTTAATTCTGGTGTCAGCGCTAGCCAAGCGTATTTCCGACCATAGCAAAGCAAGCAGACACTCACTGCTTTCTCCGCTCTGGTATTTTCGCTAACGGCAGTAGGTGGACATTCTTCAGTGTAGACATTTTATCAACTCCTACATTTACCATTTATTTGGTTAGCATGTATCCCAGCCTCTTTTTGTACAGTGACAGTGCACCTGCTGCAGCTAACTAGCTAACATGAAGCTAACTAGCTAACGCGAAGCTAAACCAGTGTAGCACCATGCTAACACCTGTTTGGGTAATGAGTGACAACGCATTATCTGCAGTATGTGTAACTCAACGTTAGAGAAACCGTGAAAAAAAATTGACGTTAACGTGTTGGCCTTTACTACCGGACATTATTAACGCAAGCAATGACGACATGGCTTAGCTGCGCAGTTTTGGACCCGCTAGGTCCATGTCAAATCTGCAGTTTGTTACTGTCTATATGCATCGCACTGTATTAATCACTACCACATTTTAGAGGGGATTTGTGTTTCCAGTTTTAATCATTTATATTCTGAAAACCCGTATTTGCAATAACATACATTTATTTCTGCATACATACATTTAAAATCCATTTTGGATGAGTTAGCACTAGCCTTGCACAGCCTCATTTTACTGTCGTTTTTAAAGATGATTGCTTTTAGCTCAAATGGCATAAAAGGGCAGAGTTGAGGTGGTAGGGGAGAGTCCCTAGTCTTGGGAGTTTTTAAGCATCCGTTTTTTTTTTGTCCAAAATAATAGTAAATACGTAGTCTTCTTTTTCTTGCTCTGTGCATTTATAGGGCGCCAATGCCTCTGCTCTGGAGAAAGAGATTGGATCTGAGCAGTTTCCAGTCAATGAGCACTACTTTGGCCTGGTCAATGTAAGTGAATGATGTGCAGATTCAACGCTATGTATACATTCTCCACCTGACTGGTACTCACACTGCATTCGACTGCATTCCATATGTGATTCTTAGTTTGGAAACACCTGCTACTGCAACTCGGTGCTGCAGGCTCTGTACTTCTGCCGACCGTTTCGGGAGAAGATCTTGGCGTACCGCAGTCAGCCTCGGCGAAAGGAGAACCTGCTCACCTGCCTGGCCGACCTCTTTCACAGTATTGCCAACCAGAAGAGGAAAGTGGGCGTCATACCGCCCAAGAAGTTCATCACACGGCTTCGCAAAGAGAATGGTGAGAGGAAACTGATACGTTTAAGAAGATTGGTGTGGTCAAAAGAGGCTACAGCAAAGTGACTAATCAACAATTAAAACTCTAAAGTTCCCTCTCTGCACTTTCTTCCTCAGAGCTGTTTGACAATTACATGCAGCAGGATGCCCATGAATTCCTGAACTACCTGCTCAACACCATCGCAGACTTGCTTCAGGAGGAGAGAAAGCAGGACAAGACCAACGGCCGCCTTGCCAACGGCACGTTGGACTCTCAGAACAACAACAGCAATGCCACGCCCGCTCCGACCTGGGTCCATGAGATCTTCCAAGGCACTCTGACCAATGAGACGCGCTGCCTCACCTGTGAAACGGTAAGATGGCTCACTGCTGTTTTCACATGAGGGGGGAGATTTAAGTGGCTCACACCGAACGTCTTCTGCTGTGTGTCACCAGAGTCTTGTTGAAACATGTTTTCAAATCAAACAATCCTGCTGCTGAGGGATTAGATAACATACACAGTTGAAGCTTCTTGGCACAAGGATAAAGAAAAGCTGAGGTTGTTTGTGTGTTAGTTTCTGTCGGTGTAAGTGCAAACAATGTTTAAGGCAAATACAAGAGAACAGCCCAATGTTATTTTATTCCAAACTTATCAGGCAGACGCATTTATCTAGTATTTGAGTTTAGCTGCTTTTAGCTTATGTTGATGTCCTTTTTTTTTTCCTCTTCAGATAAGCAGCAAAGATGAGGATTTTCTGGACCTTTCTGTGGATGTAGAACAGAATACCTCCATCACGCACTGCCTCAGGTAAATTCACAACATGTAGAAGCAGAGCAGAAGCCGGAGTAGTAGTTCACTGACAGAAAAATAATTGGCAACTCTTATTACAGAAAACAACATTTAATGGTTCCAGCTTCTCTTAAGTGCTTCCTTTTTTGATTTGATTCATGAAGAAAATCTCAATCTGTATGAAAATGCACTTCTGGTTAAGAATTTAGTTCCAAAAATGTTGTAGCCACCTATTTTACTTATTACAAAAATTGACAAATGTTGAGTAGTATTACAGAACTAGTCTCTGTTGAACGGCGTTGTGGCTTTTACCTATTTTAAGAGTGTAACTTACAAAGTAGTAACATATTTAGAGGTTGCAATCTGTGTTACGGTTGGAACCTTTTTATATCTTTAGTTCTGAAGAAGATTGCATGAATTGCTCTGAACATGTGGTGTTTGTTTGAGGATGCTGGATTTGTAATGAATAGTAGTTGTGTGTGTCTTTCACCAAACTGCATGACGAGAATGGAGTGTTTTAGTATTGAATCATTCATTTATTGACCTCTGGTTTGACTAATCCTCTTTGTGGCTCCTCTCAGAGGTTTCAGTAACACAGAGACTCTGTGCAGTGAGTACAAATACTACTGTGAAGAATGTAGAAGCAAGCAGGAGGCACACAAGAGGTCAGTACACCGGTTCATTCTTATTTTGTGCTTCTTTTTTTTTTAGGTGTTTATTGCATTTCTGTGCATGGTTGGGAGTTTAGATATTGTGTGTGACTCTGTAACGTTGTGACATAGGATGCGTGTTAAGAAGCTGCCGATGATCTTGGCTCTGCACCTGAAGCGCTTTAAGTACATGGAGCAGCTGCAGCGCTACACCAAGCTGTCCTATCGCGTCGTCTTCCCTCTGGAGCTCCGCCTGTTCAACACCTCCGGGGACGCCACCAATCCGGAGAGGCTCTACGACCTGGTCGCTGTGGTGGTGCATTGTGGGAGGTGTGTAAGATACATGGCAACCAGAGACAGGCGGACCATTTACTGTTCTAATAATAAAATGCATTTGAACCTATTGGCACTAGAATAAAGGTACATTAGAACCTAAATCACGTCAAGTGGGAGAAAACACAGACCCTCATCCATCATTGTTCAGCTGTGCTGCACTTTTTTTTTCCAGTGCCAGTTTTGACCCAGAGTGAGTGCGCCTTTGTTCTGTCTGTGTTTATACAAGGTGTTTCCCCGCTTTGCTGAAAACAGACTCCCGGCCTTCATGAATAGAAATAATTTACTAAACTTATTTGGAGTTGAGCAAATGAGTCGGGAGTCCTTCAGATGTAAGTTATGTCTGAATGTTCTTCTCTCCCTTTGAGCTTTACTCTCATCTCCTTTTAGCTTGGTTATTTTCAGAGCAGGGAGGCATATAATGAAATTGATGTCATGATTTTAGGCCACATATCATCGGGGATTTCAGTTATCGTAATGTCATGATAGTGCTTAAGTAGAACCGTACTGAATACTGCTTCAGTATTCAGTACTGGTCATTCCATGCTTACCATGTAACCTGTTTTTGTTCACAGCTGCACAGATTTGTGTTTCATTAAAGGCCCGTACTCCCACACAGGTGTTTCCAGAGGAGTGTCAATCAACATGGTGTTTACACAGTCCTGCAAAGGAGTCTAATCGGGCACAATAAGTGGAAACACCTGTGTGGGTGGACTGTGGGCGTGTAGTGCCTTTTAAAGCCCAAGTAATAATATCACGGTAGTTAAAGTTCGCTCTAATAAAGTGTTATTTTTCTTTTCAGTGGGCCAAACAGGGGTCACTACATTGCCATTGTGAAAAGTCATGACTTCTGGTTGCTGTTCGATGATGATATTGTAGAGGTAAGCGAGTTCATTTCTACTTTTTACATTTGATGTAGTATTCACAGTACTTGTGTAGTTTTTGACCCAGCTGTATATCGTCTTTCTGTTCTTGCAGAAAATCGATGCACAGGCCATAGAAGAGTTCTACGGACTCACTTCTGAAATATCCAAGAACTCCGAGTCGGGCTACATCCTCTTCTACCAGTCCAGAGACTAAACGTGGAGCAGCCGTGTTCTGCCACAGAAACCAGAAGAAAGGCTCTGTTCCCTCTTTACGAGGAGCGGCGGACTGTAAACACGCCACAGCAGCCCGCACGGCGTCACACCTGCCCGCACAGCTGTATTTAATTCTTGTGCTTCTTACACGCTCGGCGCTGCAGCTCAGCCGTTGGAAGTTCCTCCTCCTTCCCCTGTGTCCTTCCATTCCACCTCGTCCCCTTCACTCTGGACGCTGCTGCTGCCTGGACGATGAGACGATAATGAATGCAAACTGTGTCAAGATTGTTTTTAAAAAAACAAGACGTTGAATGAGGGTTGTACAGATATTGGTTGGCCGTATGAGTGGCATATTCGATTTTTCTTTGGGTGTGGGGTTGAACGGGTATTTAATAATTCATATGATGTAACATCGGCTTGGTGTCTTCACCCCCCACACTGTTATTCTGCATGGGATTTACCGAGAGTGGGTCATGTTTTTGATCACAGATGTAAAGGAGGATGAGGTGAGGTGGGGTGGGGGGGGGGGGGGGGGGGGACACACACTGGGTTGTGTATTTCTACAGTGTACAGAATGGTATTTGTATAAATATAACAAGATAATATTATCATTGGAAATCGTTAGACCTTGAGAAGATGTATTAACACTATGGTGCACTTTTGATACCGTTTTGTAGGTGTTGGCAAGTTTAATGTGAGGGTTTGCTTGAAAAAGGCCTGTTGTAAAGCGATTATTTTCTGTTTTAAAGAAAACGAAATAAAGCCAGTAAGATTGATGCAGTGTGTGCTTTCTGCGTCCTACAGGTGCGCACTGATGACTCATAGAGGCTCAACAGCGCCCCTCGGCGGTGTAGCCTGGTAGCCCAGCTCTCCTGCTGCAACAGGAGATATTTTTAATCTATTCAGATCTGTAAAGCAGGTGCTTTGTAAATAAAACTCCACACAATCGACATGAAAGCCTCATTAACAAGTCACCCATCAGTTCTTCATCGCTAGAGGTCTCTGTTGGAGGCAGTGATGCAAGGATGGAGAGGTGAGGAAGAGAAGATGGAGGACAGAGGAGAGGGTGGGGTGGGGGTTGACACACATCAGAGTTGCTGTTAATAGCACAGGCAGGACCAGAATAGAAGGGCGTCGCAGGAGGAAAGAGAGCATCCAGCATGCATATCTGAAACACCTTAACAGTTTGAATGTATTGTCTTGTTTTGTTCAGGTGAGCCGAAATAAGTTGCATCACGCGGAATGACAAATGTTGCAACAGGCCTGTTCAAAGAAAGCATGTTTTACTTAGAATAAGCGACTACAAGCACGTGGACACCTGGACACTCCACACGCACACACCTGTCTTTGTCCTTGAGACAGCAACGACTAGACATTTAGCTCCTTAACGGAGTTCAACCGGTCTTTGGTGGTCTGGCCCATGGGACTCCTCCTCCATCATCATCCTCTTCCTCTTTTCCGCCGCTGCTCTCTGCACAGCCGCAGTCCACGGCGATGCGCCGTTAACGGCAGAGCCGCTCCGCGCTCTTTTCTTATTCTTCCTTCATCCCAGCTTTGAGGCAGAGAGGACCAGCATCCCCCCCCTACACCACCACCACCACCACCACCCCCCTCTCTCTCTCTCCGGGCTGCACCGTCCTTATCGATAACATGGCAATACCAGGCTGTCGTTCTTCCATCTAGACGGGAAGTCTCACCTCGCAGAGTCAAGGTAGGCTGGAATAGGATTATTGAGCATCCTTGACATGCATGAATTATTTTTTTAGCCCGTTTATTTTATTTTATATTTTTTTCTTCCGCTGACGTGGAGAAGCCGCTGTGTTCCCCTTGATGCAAGGTGCAGAGAGGGTAAAGCAGCACCATATGGCTAACCGGCGTGAGATGCATGTATGCAGTTAGAGGCTGTATTTCCATGACCTGTGCGGTTATCTTCTGCTATGTAAAAAATAAAATAAAATAAAAAGGCGCTCGGTCTCCCGACAGCGGCGTGAATTATTACCGGTGCCGGTGTATCGATATCTCTTAAGAAGTGTGGCCTGAAATTTGCAACAAAAGCCTGCTTTATTTTTTAATTTTTTTAATTATCCCCTTTCATTTCCCTTGTTCATAACTTAAGCTACTTACCTGAGGTGTACCCTGTAGGCCTGTTAAATAGTCACCGTGTTCAATTCCCAGAGGAAAATGCATGAATTGTCTGGAGGCTAAAATGTACATCAACACAAACCCAGTGGCCCGCACAAAGGTGGGGTGGGAGCAGGAGGGAAACAGTCCCCACAGTTTCTGTCATCAGTGCATGAAATTGCGAAGCTAAAAAGATGAACCAAAACACACAATAAAGACAAGTTATTTTTGGTCCTCATTGGTTTGGTCAAGACTTTTTTATGCTAAGATATAACAGGTTGCTTGTTTGTGTCATTTTCAGACGGGGGCTACAATGAGCGAAGAGCCGCCGGTCACCCCCAGCTGGCTGACCCCTGACCCCACAGCATGGGCCAGCGGAGGCGGTGGGCCGATGGACAACAGCACCAGCCTGGGGACGTTTCCACCGGACTCCCTCCCGCCCAGCCAGATGCCCCTGCTGATCAACCCCTGGGACATTGTGCTGTGCTCATCGGGGACTCTGATAGCCTGCGAGAACGCCCTGGTGGTGCTGGTGATCTGGCAGAACCCGGCGCTCAGAGCTCCCATGTTCCTGCTGATCGGCAGCCTGGCACTGGCCGACCTACTGGCCGGCCTGGGCCTGGTGCTTCACTTCACCTGTGCCTACTTGCTTCAGTCCGAATCGGCCCAGTTGCTGACCGTGGGCCTGGTGGTGGCCTCCTTCTCCGCCTCCGTCTTCAGCCTGCTGGCCATCACTATCGACCGCTACCTGTCGCTGTATTATGCCCTCACCTACAACTCGGAGCGGACAGCGGTCTTCACCTACACCATGCTGGTGCTCCTGTGGGGCCTCTCCCTGTGTCTTGGCCTGCTGCCGGTCACGGGGGTCAACTGCCTGGCAGAGGAGTCTACATGCAGCGTGGTGCGCCCACTCACAAAGAACAACATTGCCGTGCTGTCCGTTTCCTTCCTGCTGCTCTTCGGCCTCATGCTGCAACTCTACGTCCAGATCTGCAAGATCGTGATGCGCCACGCTCACCAGATCGCCCTCCAGCACCACTTCCTGGCCGCCACACCCCACTACGTCACAACGCGGAAGGGCGTGTCCACGTTGGCGATCATCCTGGGTACCTTTGCTGCCTGCTGGATGCCATTCACTGTCTACTCTCTCATCGCCGACTACACCTACCCTCCCCTCTACACCTACGCCACGCTGGTGCCTGCCACCTACAACTCCGTCATCAACCCGGTCATCTACGCCTTCAGGAACCAGGAGATCCAGAAGGCACTGTGGCTGGTGTGCTGCGGCTGTATTCCTGCCAGCGTGGCCCAGCGTGCGCGGACCCCTAGTGACATCTGACCGAACAGACCCGGGTGGGAAGAGAGAGGCGCCCAGAGTCAGCTGAATGGAGTTTTTGTTTTCTTTATTATATTCACCAAGTGGCAAGGTGTCTCACTGTCTTCCCCAGTAAAGGCGGCCACTGCGCTGGCAGCATCCCGCCCCCTCCTGTTCAGCCTGTGCCACGCCCTTCCTCTGTCCTACAGAGAGCGCTGAGTGCATCACATGTTAGAGGCAGCGACTGTATATACACTGCATATAGTTAACAGCACTTTGGGCTTTGGTTGACACGTGCTTGTTTTTCTGCAAATAAGGAGGGATTATTAGTGTGGGCCCCTTGCGCGCGCGTGCGTAAAAGCGCACAAATTCACCAAGGAGTGTGTGCGGGGCGGAGAGGAGAGAAGAGAACGGCTGATTACGCAGGCATTTCCACATAAAGCCCTGTCTGGAGCAGCATCCCGGCGCTCTGCTGCTGCAATCTGAACGTGCGTCGAAAGCTAAACAGCCGCGGAGTGCTAAAAATAGACCCGGAGCTCTCTGATCCGCGCCCCGCGTCCTCCACAGACGCCAAGAAAGAAATCAAGCCGTTTCGTCTTCCCCCCGCCTCTCCAAATGTGTCTTCTTTTCTCTCTGGATTTGTGTGTGAATGCATTTTTAGTTTCATCTCGCAAGTGGGAGGCTCGCGACAAAGCCCCATGAGACCCCACCATTAACCCCTCCTCCATGTTTTATCATTAACGGAGGCACCAACCCGAATAGAAGGCTATCGGATTATGTAACCACCTATATCCCTCCTCTTTCACCTTTTAAATGGAGATTGCTTATGACTTTTTGAATGTCTAGAACATTGTTATGTAATGTGTAATCATAATGTAATTGAGAAAGCCCCACCAATTTGAACAATAATTGGAATTATAAGTCAGGCCTATACTTTTTAAAACACACACAAATCAAATGTATTATTCCTAAAGGAATCATGTAGGATATTAAATGAATGTATCATCAGATTACAAACCTGTAGACAAATATGGATTTTATATGGAAATCTGCTAAATGTGAATGTATTTCCATTTATTTGAACACCAACCACACATTTGATCGATATGCTTGACTTCAGTGTAATTTGCATGCAACAAGCACAGATGCCCTTTTCCCCTCCTTAGTTCAGTGTGGTAGGTCACATTGTCGACTACAAGCCATGTGACATGGTACCCTGATGTCATCATGACCCTAATATTTTTGTTTTTCTACACAGTGTACCTCAAATGTATCACATTGAATGAGCTAATCGTTACTTGATGGTCACAAGAGTGGCACCCTTTTTTGAAAAATGTATTTCAAAAACAATATTTAGCTGTAAAGTGCGGATAAGTTTGAAGTTCAAAGGCTCTGCTTTGATCGTGATTTCAGTTCAACTGAGTGTGGTTCAATGGAAGCCCAAATCACAACACTTACCAGCTGCTCTGAGTTAATCCTCCGTTAGTTCTTGGTCTCAAACCCGACAAAAAGATGCACGCTAATTACTCATTCCTTCATATCTTGTCAGCAATAACTATGAATGGTAGTTATTTAGCAATACTCAGACAGCAATAACATCCACCTCCCACCTATACTTCTTCCTGCAGCGTGAAGTTCCATAGCGGCCGCTCAGGTGGGGATGTGTTGTAGTGAATGTGCTCGGGGAGCTACAAGTGATCTTGAAATAGGTGGGAGGATAATCACTCCAGGGCTGGAAAAAGTGGACGAGATCAAACGACTCCTTTGTCACAGTGACACCACTGACTCATTCCTCCGCAATGATTTTTTTTATTTCTCTGAGCTAAAATCGGACTTTGACCATTTGTCACACCAAAAGAATGGTGAAATGTATTTATTTACTTCTTGTCTCTGCCTTTTGTGAGCATATGAACTGTCCTAAGTGTCGTGACCTCAAGTCTCAGTGTGTGATTTGGGGCTGTGTTTTCGTGGATACGGTATGAGTTGCATGGCCTCTGGGTGTGTGCATGTGTGTGTGTTTGTGATCCAGCAGCTCTCAGCAGACCTTAATCTGTCTCCTTGTGAAGGGGTGAAACGGGTGTGAGGGATATGACTCCCTGTTGACACCCCTGACCTTCGAGGACAATGCTGCCAGTCTTCCTGTCAGTTCTGAGAGAAGTGGCCTCGTTACATATTCGTAGAGCGTTTCCAAAGAGGTAGGACTCAGATGTGGAAGCTCCAGCACTTCAAGCCAAAGTGAAAGGGACTCACTGGGATCCAAGTCCTGCTGTGTGTTTTCAGTCTCCTCTTTATCCCTAATATTCTACTTTAAATCAATCTAGTCTGATTGATGCAGGCGTCCGCTAAGTGACCTCTGAATGATCCTATGAGCTAAATATGGGCACTTCCAAATAAAAAGAAGTACTGCTTCTTCTTTCCTTCCTTGCTACCTCCCCTCTAAGCAAGCCTGGGGGCATTTGAGGAGCTCCCAATCTTCATCTTTCTGGCCTCAGATCAGATGCAAAGCGATAAAAAAAAAGGGGGGGTAAGTAAGAAAAGCTGAGGAACAGCATTTCTGAGCATTGGAACGTGAACTCGTGCACAGTGTCAGACTGAATCCTGTTGTTATTAATGAGCACCGACAGGTCGGGCTGGCACATCACAGACCATCACAAACTCTTATTGCTTTACCTTTTGAGAAAAGTCTATTTTGTTATATTCATTGAAGTTCTATTTTTTTCCACTTTAATCTGGCCTGAATTCTTTCACATTCTGGTGTTGTGTGATAAAAAGCCTTTTTTTTGGAATGTAGTAATAATCAAATTGTTTTGTCTTCCTCTTGACTCATTTGTTTCTGTAAAAACGGCATGCTGAAGAGGGGGGGACTTAAAACCACCTTGCATGGTGCTACTAAAGCCTATGTCAAGCTAGGGGATGAGTTGGGTTGCGCCATTTTCTTCTGTTGGGCATCAATATGCACCGGTTGACTGAGGCTGGTTAACGGATAATTGATTGGTTACACGTGGGTGTTTGACGGGAACCAAATGGTACACAACGTTCTCTGGTTGGTGAATGTTCTTCTCTTGTGCAGTGTTGTTGAGATTTTCATGATTGAGCAGGTGTGAACAAGGGCTTAGTATCCAACTCACACCTGTTCATCTATTGAATTGTTTCACAGTGTAATGAAACACAACGTTGTGTGCAAAGCAGCTGGGTTTTTGAAAAAATACTGGATGTTAGTTCAGCGGGAGGTTTCTTTTTGATGGTTAAACATGTAGAGCTAAACATTAAAACACTCAAGGGCCTGTGAATGTGTGTGTGTGTGTGTGTTTTGGGGGTTGGAGACGGGAGGACGCCACAGTAACAGCATCTTGTGTAGACGTATGCGTAGTTTTCAATGTGAAATGCACTTTATTTTTTGGATGAAGATGGCACAACAAATTAAGTATCTGCAAAATGAAACATATAAACGATAATCAACATGCACTAACTGAACTGAGATATTGTAAAAAAAAACTAAAAAAAAACGTGTGTGTGAACGTGGTGTCTATTTTTGCAAAGGTGTTAGTTGTACTTTTTATTGCTTTGGTTAGTTCACTCGATTGTTAATTTTGTATTAAAAAAACCAAACATGTGCTGTGCATAAAACTCTGCTGCCTCGACTAATTTGTTCATCCTCGCCCTGGCTCGCCCCCCCCCCCCCCCTGTTTTCACACTCTTCTGTTTCCCTGGCAACTCCCTTCTTAGCTATACTGTTACCATGGAAACTGAAGTCTTAGAGGCAGGTACGTGTTGTCTCTATGACGACAGTGGACCAGTAAAGAGAGACATGACACACCAGCCGCGATCTTCGATTCATCGTTTTATTTTTCTCTGGGGTCAAAGGTTACAGAGCTCACACTAGCTTGCCCCCCCCCCCCCGTACAGCAGTGATCAATGGCTCAATCAATTCTCCCGTTTATCATCAATAAGACTTATTACATATCCTCAGAGGCATGAACCCATCATCAACGACTCCTTCACTTCCAGTTATTGACATGTTAAAAAAAAAAACAAACATGCCTCACGATCTACAGCATACGCAAGTGTTTCAGTAAAAACATTTAAAAAAAGACGAGTACGTTGGTTAGCTCAAGAGGGAAAAGTTTCTAATTCTTCTAACACTCTCAAGCTTCGACTATACATGTAATAAGCACCTTCACATGGTGTCTATAGTGTTATAACAGGTAGAGAAACATCCACTGGGGTGTATCCACAATGCTTTGAATTATATATATATATGTCAAGCTACATGTTAATGTTTCAAAGAGTGGTAAGTATTACAGTATGTTACGAGTGTCTTTACAGTGTTTATGCATCTTGAATACACCCCCACATTTCCAGTTTTGGACCATTCAGCTTATATCAACCTACAGCATGTGATTGTGTGTAGGCATGTGTGTGTGTGTGTGTGTGACAGCCCGTGAGTGTGGTAGAGTGGGCATTCTTTCAAGTGAGTGTGAGATCGACTGTGTATGTGTGTGTATCTTCAGTAGTTATCCTATTTTTCTTTTTGTGTGTGTGTGTGTATGTTAATCCGACCAATCGTTCTCTTCCAACTCCGAGTCGTCCTCAGAGTCGGAGTACTCCACCGCGATGCGTCGTGAGAGGATGGTGGCCACGTCGTTTCCAACCGGCTCCCTCTTAGCCTGCTGCTCCTGCTGCTCCTGCACCTTCTTCAACTGGATGCCTACAGGGAAATACGGGGTGTGTTTGTCACTGACACGGTGGCTCTTGAAATGCAGTGTATGGATAAACAATGAGGGTCTGAGGCAGCTTCATTTTGGAGTCTAAAAAGAACACTATCAGGCTTCCCACTCTTTTCTAGAGATTATTTTCCAGGACATTTCCAGTGAGGATCTAGCTGGTATGACATGTAGTGATGATGAGATCTGTGACTTGAAAAGCTGCTCCATCACCTCCTCCTTCTCATATAAAGATTCTGATCTTTGGTGGAACTCTTTAAATGTTCCCTTGAGCCACTTAATTATAGTGCTCTAGATCAAGGCCATTTCCTGTCATATCAAGGCAAGGCCTAATAAAATGTAGGTCACAAACATTTGCTTAAGCTATTTCTTACTCTCTTTTTCCAATGCTAGTGTATTTACAATGAATTTACAATTATATTGGTTGAGATTTGACAAAAATTAAATCTCAAGCAATAGACCTATATTCAGACCTTTGACTACAAATGTTATTTTTTATCTTTTAACAAGTATTCACCCCCTTAAGTTAGATCCCTTTATAAACTTAATTTTTTTTGCCTCCACCTCTATAAAAACGGAGCGACCAGGTGCCAATCATTCTGCATTTAAAGGCTCTTTTTCTGTTGATCAGGGTTAAAACAGCCACATTATTCCCCTTCAATTAAATGTTGTAAAACAATAAAACGGGACATTTTAAAGGGGCACTGCATATGTTAGTGCTATTATTATTAAAGGTGGTTTTAAACAAAAACTGTTCTAAAGAAGACACACATGACACATCTTTATGGGAACACATAGACACACTACAGCTCGTACCCATACGTATAGCAGCCAGCAGATCACTGCGGGCATCGTTGACCGCTGAGGCCTCAGCAGGTGCAGAGGAAGACATCTTGCGGTTTATGTGGGAAGCACCGGCTGGGAGGGGAAGAGGTGGAGGACCAGGCGGAGGCGGAGCCGCCTGGGCTCCACATAAAGGCAGCGGAGGCAGAGCGAAGCCACCAGCGCCGACCATTTGCCCGAGAGGCATTGGTCCTCCGGGAGGGGAGGCAAATGCAGTTTGGGCAGAAGGGATGAGAGGGGCTGGGGGGGGAGGAGGGGGACCAGTGTTGGCATAGCCATCCATGCTGCAAGAGAGAGAAAATGAAAGAGAATTAGGAGAGGTTAATACAAAGGATAACAGTCTGTACTTTGTCATCAGGGTTTGAGAGTGAAGCAGAAGGACACTGACCCACTAGGTGGCAGCATTTGCTCAAAATTCATACTTGTGTACACAAAGACACACCTCAACCTGTCAAATGCCTGAAATACAACTTTAAGAGCCTGTTAGAAAAGTGTCTTGTTTACCTGTAGTCCATTGGGGGAAGGGACATAGAGCCACCGTTCATGGCCTCAGTGGGTGGAGGAGGCAGCGGGACGTGGTGGTGGTGAGAGCGCCCCAGTGTCCCGCCCTGATAGGCCATCATGGTCCTGCCTCTCATGTCGTGTTCGCCTCCTCCGCGGGGGGCGTGGCCTGCTGCAGCCATCTGGGCGGCCAGGACGCTGGGCGGTGGGCCGGAGTAGGTGTGGGCGTGGCCAGCGTGGTTCATCATGTTGGGGTAGTGGTGCTGATCAGGACCGTGACCCCTGATAGAGGCAGCAGGGGAGGAGGATGAGAAAATGGACGGTGAAAATAGGAAGGTGGAAATAACACTGTTAATTAATTACGCAGATATATAATGCCCTACCTGTTCTCTGGGGACATCGAGCCCTCGGAGGAAGCCCCTCTGTCGCGGTGTATGGTGTGTCGGTGGTCCGGCCTCAGCTCTTTATCCAGAGCCATCATGTTCCACTCCTGCCGACGGTTCCTCGCCTTTCGGACCTTCTTCACCTCCCTCTGTAACGTTCCATCCACACACCGCTTCTGCTCCTGAAAGACAGAGAGAGAAGGAGAGCATTTAGGCTATTTAGTTTTGTTAAAGATATCAATTTGTGGTCCTTCATTATGTGTTCTTCTGTGGACAATAATATAATTAGTTCCACTAAGAAGTCATATTTTGTGTAGTGATTATGGTATTAAAATGTAAGAAACTAACTTGAACTACATTGGACAGAACAGCACCAGTTTGAGGTGGCAGGTAGAGTAAACTGCTTGTAATGGTGTATAAAAACCATAGCATGATCGGTGAGCTCCCAATTGTACCTTCTGCTTCCTCTTCTCTTTCCTTTTATCCTCTGTGTCCTGCAGCATGGTTTCCTTCCACAGGTTGAAGAAGTAGGAGGGGTCGGTGTAGAACTTCAGCGCTTCCTTGTGGTCATCCCTTCAGAAACAGACACCCGAGAATTATGCAGGCGCACAAATGTCTTTGTACCAAAACATGTATGGATACATCGTCTTAGTTTATGCAGAATGGCAAGATAGACAAGGTTTTTTTTGTCTCGGTGTTTGCTACGAATATTGCAAAAGTGGAAGAGGCTGAGAACAGATGAAGAGGGAGAGAAGTGTGCTATGTAGTCACGGTTAGGAGTTTGATTCCCACTGGAGCCGGCCATGCTAAATATATAATGCACCCAAAGTACTGGAAAGCACACTGGATAGAAGTAGCAGGAGGAAATAGTACCAAATCTGCTGTTTCACTGTGAATGTAGGTCAGAAACAAGGAGCCAAGTTTATTGTGTCTTTCACACTGTGAAAGTGCATTGTGTACAAACATATGCTGCTGGTTTCATACTGTTAAAATTAAGAAAAATAAATATGTTTAGCATCTTTAAGGCTCACATATTGGTGGAAATACTGTAAAAATGATATGTGAGTCAAGAAATACTAGAATTTTGACTACAGTCATTATGTTTTTAGGGGGGGGGGGGGGCAGCAGAAAGAAATGAGACAGATTTAAGAGATACGGCTGTGATCGTGCTGAGAGAGCATCAGAGAGTGTTTGGTGGGTGAGTGAGCATCATCAGCACCAACCTGTAAGACGAGAGGATGTTGAGTGGCGGAGGCTTATCACTCAGTTTGTAGATCTCCTTGACAGGATTGGGCACACTGCTCGTGGACACCACCTGCTGGTCCTGAGTGGTGGAGCTCTTGAAGGCTTTCCTCATGTTTATGTCTTGTAGGGAAACTGAGAACATAGAGGTCAGAATAGGTAGAAAAGGCAGGAAAGAAAAGAGACTGACAACACTTTGGACGATGAGTGATGACTTCCTGTCCTTCCCCCGCCCCCTCAGACCTCTAAACCTCTGACCCACCTTCTTCCACAGTGGAGTCCAGCTGTGTGACTTTAACGGCCAGCCGGTCAATGCGGTCCTGGAGAGAGTTGGCGCGCAGATAGAAGGTGTTGGCCTCGCTAAACAGCTCGCCGAATATATCCTCCGCATGTTTACCTGGAAAAAGAAACAGCAGAAGGACAAAGAAATGGGAAATTTGAACGAAGGAGGCTCGTAATCGTTATCCGGAGCCGAGCAAATCCCCACAGAGGCTGAAGTTTAATCGATACGACGGTAATGTGACACAACGTGAGGCTAGAAAAAGGCCTTTGCAGGAAATGGCTTCTCATACAGCTCCATATAGCAACATTAATCATTAGTTGTTTGTTGAAGTTATTCATCGCTGCTCTGTTATTGCTAGAGATTCATCACCTCAGGGTTGTCAGTTCAAAGCCCTAAACAATCTGTGCAAATGTCTGCTGGGTCCTGTACATGTGCTCAAGTCCGGTCCTGCTCCTGGTTCTGGTCCCGGCGTTATGTTGCGAGGCTAACATCTTCAGAGTGGAATCACAGCACTGTGATTGACATTTGACTTGATAGGAAACTTTTTGTTGCTTTGGTTCTAATCCCGATTCACGCTTGTGTTCTTAACTCTGTGTTCTGGGGAATAACCCCGAACAGTGCGGATGACCCTGCTCTGGAATGGGTTTTTTAAAAAGGGCCAAGGGCGGAAGTAAACCACATTATGGGCTGTCAGTGTGAAATGACGGTTAGTCCGGGGTTTATAGAACTATAAACTTTTAGCACTGGGGGTCTTAGCCCAGAGCTAATGAGCGTAAAAGCCTTTCTTCTAAAGAAATTGCTACGCTGGGCAGTACTGACATGATTAGGCTTTGAATGAAAACATGCGTCCTCTGGATGTCAACAGTTTAAAACCCAGCCAGAGCGGTCTAACAGCACAGTTTTATTATAGTGGACTGCGTGTGTTTCACACACTAAAGGCTTTTTCTGTCCCTCCTGCTGACAGGATGGGCCACAGGAAAAACATTTAGAGGAAGGAAGAATCACAGATCCGGCACGCTGAGCCGGGTCAACTCTGACCTCTCCGTGTGCACAGACATGCACAGTGTATGTGGTCTTCAAACATGTATATATATCTCCCACAGCTGCTGCTGAAAGGCCCACTCCCACTGCAGGAACTCGACACAATAAGAGACGGAGAGAGAATGGACATGACTGGGCCGAAATGTAGAGGGTCAACAGCAAAAAAGGGACTGGATTTAAAAAGTATGCTGTTTAAATGCACAATGAACACATTTGTAAAATGGGTGTAACTGAGGATGAATGGGTGAATGTTAAAATACTTGTTGATGGATTATTAAACAAAGACAGGGAGATGGAAAACGGACGGGGAGATAGATAAACAAATCTTTCTAATGCATTTACAGTGAGCACAACAATCAATATGACACAGGCCTGTACACGACTACTGTTGACATACACCCCTCCAGTCATAACAGGATGACACACTGACACACACACACACACAGCTGTCCCGATAAGTTCCCTTTTGCAGAGCTATCTACAAGGATTACATTTCAACCCTCCGCGCTCCAGCGCGAGGCCGCACTAAGTCTGCTGCTAGCCCAGTGACCCCCCCCCCCGGGGCACTGTAACCATGACAACTCCCAAATCAATCACAGCTTCGGGATTACCGCCGAAAGCATGTGACCGCGTAGGCAGTCATCAACCTTAGTGAGGTCACGGCCTGAAGTTGTAATCTCTTTTTTAATGTCACTTTTAGCAGATATTCTCTTCCTGCAAAGGCTACTTTGCGTGTGTTTGTCCATGTGAGTGTGTGAGTGTGAGAGTGTGTGTCGTACTCAGGCTGCTGAGCTGACGGATGATGGCGGAGAGCGTGTTGTTCATCACACACTCCAGCTCGCTGCCGATGCCCTCGGGGAGCTCCCCCCGGCAGAGGTGCCGGGGCTCGATGTTCCTCTTGACCAGCGGCATGGCGAGGCTTCACACCAACACGAACTGCGAGGAGACAAGCACACACACTCTTTTAAAACAAGCACACGCACACACTCTTTTAGACGCCAGCACCCTGATTTAGAGAGGATGAAACGGAGGAACCGGCATGCAGATGCTGTCCAACTGCATCTGGTCTGATGCTCATGAGCGAGCTATCCCCCCCCCCACACACACACCACATCTGCCATTGAAACAAAGAGGTATAACATTTATGCTATATATAACAGGGGTGGTGATTATCAAAACACATTGAGAGAGTTTAAATTAAGGCTGCAACTCAATCAATTTCCTGATTATTTTCTCAATTAACTTATTAAAATGGCTGTAAATCAAAACTTCCAATTGGATGTATTGAAATTGACAGTTTAATCTGACTAAAACTCAAATATATTCTATTTTCTATTCTATTTTAGAGGTTTTTATTGTCATTTTTTGCTATTGAAAAATACGTAAACAATTATAGATTTATTAAAATAGTCTGTTGGCGGCTTGATCAACACATCAAGTTCCCACACTCACAGTTTTGATGAAATATTGTATATAAGCACCAATAATCATACTGAACAACACAGTTAAATTATCCTTCCAACATACTGAGTACAAATGTTTGCGTTGGATTTTTCAATATCACCCAGCTTAATGTATCTTTTGTGGCTGTAGCTTGTGTTTTTGTGTTGTTGTAGCCTGGGACGGCGTTGTGAAGTGTATGACCAACAGTGTCCCAAAGCCAGAAGACTTTGGCGTCCAGCAGAGAGATTAAAGCATTAGCGATAGGAAGATACAGCATGCCAGCTAATCCCAGGCAGGCTTGTCAGTGGCCCAGCTGGAATCCTGACACAAACAGAGATTCACGGATGTGGTGAGGCAAACACCAAAAAGGCAGGAAAGTCGAATGGGAATTTACATAAATGAATGCATCGTTGCATAACAAGAAAACCAAAAACTGGAAGCATTTGCCATTTTTCCCCCAGAAAACTCACACACACATTTGCTCTTTCATAGCAACTTCAGTCTCTTAATGAAACCCTCATTGGTTCTTCAGTCAAACTCTCTGTAGTTCAAAGGACTACAAATAAATTTACAACGCCGGAGATGTCCCAGGGTGCATCAGAGCAGCCATCTTATCTGAGCTTCTTCCTGCATCCTGTTTTTGACCTGCGGCTCCTGCTTCCTGGTCCTCCCTGTGTCACTTCTCTCCTTCCTGTCCAGAACAATACAGCGATGGCTCGAGAAGCAACCGAGAGAGGACGGACACAGAGGAGGATGGAAACCGGCTGCTCGCACAATTTTTAGACTCACTGATCAAATGATTCACTCATAAATACAGTTCCAGACTTTTTCCTGTGCTGCTACGCCAAAAAAAAAAAAAAAAAAGATGCAGGTTGGAGAAACACAGGAGCCCTGGCAGTGTGACAGAAGGCTAATAATAGCTGACAGGTACGAGAAATACAACTCGTGTTTGTTGGACCTCGCAGATATCCATTTGTGATCACAAGAAATTAGATTTGGTGGGAAGAACGTTTTTTTTAATCCTTCTCAACCCATCACAACCAGAAAATATTTTGCCTTCTAAGTGGCTTAAAATGTTAATCTTTTAATCTGTGCGAATCCTTATCTCGTAACACACCAAATACAAAAGGTGCGGTTACATCATCAACACAACAAATCACCGACAAAGCAAGCAGCAGTGCTGTGCCGTCGGTGTGTCAGCAGGAAAACTACTGTAATTACAGATCGTGTCACTTCAGCTGTCCGAGACAGAGAAGAGGACGCCTCTGTTCCCACCAGCCGGGTCCTCATCTGGCCCCCGATTTTCTCAGCCAGCGACCCCCTGCACGCCCCAACAGCCTCATGCCAATAACAGAAAAGAAAGGGTAAAATCACACCATCATGTGCTGCCACAAAGGACACTGAATACAGTTAATAAGGTCTGGGGTTGGAGCAAAAAGAGCCCCCCGGATTCAGCCGTCTGTGTAAACATTATGGTAACACTGTGCTTCTTGTAAGGATAGGAGGGAGGTGATGCAAATGAGAAGATTGCATGTTTTTGCTTTTACTGTCTGGCTGGCCTGACAATCACATCAATGAAGCGAAATAATGAGCGACTGGGGGGGGTGGAGGAAAGGACGGGCCTCGTCGGGCCTCGTCTGCTTGTGAGAAGATGAGGGGAAAGTATAGAGACGTGTGACGGGAACGAGACAGTGAATGAATCTGTGTGTGAGACAGAGAGAAAAAGGTTGTGTGTAGCATTAAGAGGTGGAAGACTGTGTTTGTGTTAATGAGTGTGTGTGTGTGTGTGTGTGTGTGGGTGTGTGTGTGTGTGTGTGTGTGTGTGTGAGGGAGAAAGGGTGTATTGGGTGGGGGGAGGGGTATGAACAGGGACCTCGGGGAAGCCACTGAAAGGTTCCCGGGACAATAGAGCTCCGTTCACACGGCAACAGCACTAGCTCTCCCATGCATCCTCTTCCTCCTCCTCCTCCTCCTCTTCAACCTTCTTTAAGGCCCCCTATACTCCTGCAATGAAAGCTTAGCAAGCAAGCGCTCCTCCACTCATTTTGGGAGAAATACATGAGCAAGAAAAAAAAAGAGAGTGAAACCTAAACATAAGTCAGAGGAATATAACAGCTCACTCTCATGCTGAGTGTTTTCTCAGCCTTTCTTTTTGTCGTGTTTTTTGATGCTTAATTCATCACGACCCAACATGCACCACTTAGGCATTAAGGCATTCAGACACAAACACACCAGGTAGCCTTTAAAATGTCCCATTAGCAGCATGTTAACAGTCCCATCGGCAGTCTTTGATCCTCAGTAAGGTGACATTCAGGCTACATTCAGGGTAAAACACACTTCACCCATGTGACTCCTGCAAGATGCTCAACACGCAGAGATAGAAGAGGCATTTACTACAGATGTGAGAAGTCCATTAAGATCCCAAAGGGAAGTCATTACCAATTTATGAGCCGGGTACAGCTTCTTGTGTTGCAGGCTCTTTCGCTTGCTCTGAGGTTATAAATAATGCAGCTTGGATTACGTCAGGTCACACTGCCCTAAATATGACGTAAATAAAAACTCTGCGGTGTGACACTGCGCCTACGTTTTCCACGTCCCAATACTACTCAGGGCCATCCATGGTGAAGCATTCAGGCACTCCGGGTAAAGGTAGTACTGAATAGTGAGTCCTCACTGTGTACAAAGTAGGTCGCGGGAGCTGGGCCATAACTTTAACCTTCTGTTGTGCAGCCAAAAAGACAGAATATATCTGCCAGTGCTGGGCAATAATGTCTTTTATTGACTTTTAGTAAAATTGTAACATGATAACATAATCATCCTGTCATTGTACGAATATATCAGAGCATTGGAGCAACCTGTAAAGAGAAACTAACACAATGTGTTAGGGAGGATTAAGTTCAATAGACATGACCCCAAGTTAATCCTAATGGTGCTACAAGGGGATAAATAGCTGATTAATTTAGTAAATTAGAAAATTAATTGATTATAAATCAAGTATTAAAAACACAATGTGTTTTTCAGCTTGACAGATTCTCCTATTCACAAAAAAAAAAGAATATTTTAAGTTGTTTTACCTGCTTTTAGTTCCAATTAACTAAGAAATACTAGCATTTCTCATTGAGTAGCCAGTATTTGTTTTGTGTTTATTTTACCTTTATATATATTAGATTACTTAATAATTAATGGTCGGTTTATTTATTGATAGTGAATAGTTCCAGCTAGATATTGGTGATATATTTGCTATGAATATAAGGTAAGATGTATTATAACACTACTATCCCTAACGAAGTTGCTCATCACTTATATTTAATTAATCAACACTCTGTTGTGATGTCAGGTTGATTGATTCTACATTTTACCACGTGAATGGCATGATTGAGTTAGTACAATCGACTATTTTGATGTCTGTCTTTAAATTCCCAATTCATCCACACACACCCTTTCTCTCCTTCCCACAGGCTGATACACACACACACAGACACACACACACACACGCGCGCGCGCGCGCGCGCAATCAATCACTGTTCCGCACCGTCGCTTCCCGTTACTGATGGACTGACCCACATCTGTTCTCCCACCTCGGTTCCCGGGAATTTCTCCCGGTTTTAATGTTACATGTGCTCCGTGCTTAAGGCTTATGTTTCGTGCACGGAGAGTCCGTTTGTTATCATTGACTGCGGCTCCACGACCACTGACCACTTGGTTAGCTCGCTAGTGTCCAGTGGTCGACTTCTTAGTTTGGACAAATGAGCCCACCGTCCACAGAAATAGCCACACACATCTCACCCTTTATGTAAAAGCTGTCATTAGTGGTTGTAAAAAGAACCATAAAACCCTCACCAGCACTTGAAATAGTAGAATAAATCGGCCCGTCCGCATGTCCCGTTAGATACTCCTCTTAGCGCTCACATCCTGTGTCCCCTCAGCAGAGTCTGGCCACTCCAATCCTTTGAGGACGGGGACACGCCCACAGATCACATACACCAATCAGATGTAAGAGTAGGGTATTTAACACGTGATGGGCGTTCAGATGGACCAATGGTAGCTCTCGAAGGAGAAGGATGACAGGGAGACTCCCAAACTCTTAAGCGGTGTTGCGAATTGAGGAGGCGGGGCTACAGTTGGGCGTAGCTGAAGAGCAAAACGGGATTTGTTTTTTTTTCAACTGGGTCCTATTCCTTGTCAAAATTATTAGGACTTTAAATTCATCTTGAGGCCTGTGGGGATTTTGTAGACATGCAGACCTATTTATATAACGAGTTTGAGCAGACAGTTGTGGACTAGAGGGGGTTAGAATCATGCAGCAGGCAGTGATGCTGAGAATGAGCTCGGGTATTATTGTGTAATAGCTGGGCCAGAATCCTGCAAGAAGAGGTTCAATAAGAGGACTTGCTATGCTTCGATATGTCCTTTACCCTCCCAGGTGTGTCGGTAGACAAAAACAGTCTGAGGGAGATGAGAGTCATCAAAGCAGAAAAAGGGAGCAGAGAATAAACTGTAGACCGTAGACCGGGTTTAGTCCACTGGAAAGGGAGTTTCATTATTGAAAATGCACTTCTATTCCTGGACAAGGGGAAAAGCCACAGCCTGCATTCGTTATACAGCTGTCATTTTAACATATATTATTGATTTTCCCATGAATACCAAAGCACACATGTATGTGTGACTATGAAATAAAGTAGGAAGGTTTAGATTGACATACTTGGACTTTATAAGACCAACGTATGACTTTGGTTCCAAGGAGGAGATTCTGTGCATGTGACAGAAATACTGTAGAATTCATAAATATAAGTGCTGAAACTATTAATCGATCAACAAAATCAATGAACAATTTTGATAATGTATCATAATATGAGATAATATGAATACGATCTGGTTACAGATTCTCAGGTTTTCTGCTTACTATAATTGTAATTAAAAAATGAGTAGGTGTTGGGCTGTTGATTAAACTTGTTCTATGGGAAATCATTATGGCCTTTTTTAATGTTTTATAGACAAAATGGTAACTGATTCATCAGGAAAATAATTGTCAGTTTAATCAATAACAATGAACTTAATGAAAAAAGCCAAAGAACCTCAGCCAAGTCTGATTCCAGGTGAACAATGCTTTTCTTTTTAGATAAATAAAAAATAAAAATAGCTGCCTTAATAAAATAGCATACGAGGTGTCTAAAATATTTAAAAAAACATATAGTGAGCTTTCTGTGACACTGGGTGTTAAACGTGCAAAGATTGATGTCATCATTAAAAACGAATCCAGCAAGTTTAAACACAATTCCTGCCAGCTAACGGGATTTAGCTGAATTCTTAAAAAACAGTTAACAGCTTGTTGTGAAGTAGAAAAAAATAAGTAATTAAAAAAGTGCAAAAGGTAAATACTTGCTTAAGTTTGCATCACTCAGCAGCTGCTTGCACATACACACAATTAACAATATCATCGTTTTCACTTTTATTGTCAGGATACTTGCTTCATGTAAAATATTTCAATACAATACATGTTCCATCTGCCATCCTCCATGCGATTGGTTGGTTTTGTCATGTTGTAAGGCTTGCCGACAGCATAGAGCAGCTGAGCCGCTTTGCCACACTTACCATGAAAACAGATTAAATTATAAACCACTAAAATCATTTTTGTCATCTTTTTTTGTCCTTTCTCAAACAAAACAAAAAAAACCCTCAACGCCACAGCTGTGGGGGCTCCATATCCTCCAGCATGCTTCACGGCAGCTCAGATCAGTCCCCAGCTGAGGCCCTCACAGGGTCACACACACATAAAATAAATGGACAGACAGACAGGAGGACAGTCGGACAGGAATCTGTCACCGCTGGCAGTCACATAGCAGCTTTCAGTCTCATCCAAGCTACAATGGGTAGAGGGTAACTGGCTGGGGTCAGGCGTAGGTGGGGGTGTGGAGACAGGTGGAGAAGAAGAGGGGAGGAGATGACACCGCCGATTAACACGTGTCCACCCCCCCCCCCCGATACCACGCCATCTTCTCTTGGCTGGTTTGATGTCGTCTGAGTCACAGGAACAGGTTGGGCTCTATCATCGTATCCAATCCTCCCGCCTTGTGTTTCACCCATCAGGTGTTGCTCTATAGCAGTGTTTGTAATACTGGGGTTATGGGTGTGTTGTCTTGAAGCAGAAGTCATTCGGACCTAACAGACTGCTGGAGACAAAGTGCCCTCTGTGGGGTGGGGCGGGGCGCTCTGTTGCATTGGACATCCCCCCATTCCTCAGTACATTCGTTCAGGTATGGTGAGGGCTGTGTGTGTGTATACGTGTGTGTTTATGTGTGTGTTTATAAGCGTATGTACGTATGTGTGTGTGTAAGAGAGGTGTCTCAGTAGCGGTGGGTTTGGTGGGAGTACTGGGGCGGCTGCTGGGAGGTAGAGGAGTATCCCATGCTGCTTTGGGGCAGTGATGTGCTTGGTCCAGGGTTCTGGTAGGCAGCATGTGGATTGGAGCGCTGCAGGGAGGAGGAAAACAAGAAGACACTCATTAACTCCTATTCACTACAAAATTACTCTTGTCGGTTAAAAGACTTCAAGGTTAATTTGCAGGTTGTGACATTCGGCACACACATGCCACACGAACATTAAAGAGCTATATCTTCATCCAAAAGTAAAATGTCGATGGAGGAGGGGCCTACCTGGTAGTCTGAGGTCATAATGAGGCCACCTGAGGTAGTGGTCGGCGGGACAACTCGCACTTTCTTGAGCGGCGGGCCTTGGGCATGGCTGTTGTCAGGGTTGCCAGTGTGCCCCGCCCCATTTGTGTGGTTGTTTCCCTGTTGCTGCTGCTGGTTTTTCTAATAGTAAAAGAAAAAAAAAAAAAAAAAGTGTACATTGTATTGCATGTGTACACTTACTACCTTTCTGGATACATTCATAAAATAAGCATGATGAAGGACTGAAGTGGCACATTTTTTACTTTGTCGGCCTTGTCCTCTGGCTCCTCCTCAGTCAGGAACTCCCTCTTGGGGTAGGGAATCTGGCAGCCTGCAAACACACTGGAGGGAAAAAAAAGCAAAGAGGCTTGTCGACTTCAAACATTTAGACCCAGGACTCGAAGCTTATTAGCCAAGTGACCTGCTCCAACATCATAGGAACCCTAGGATAACGTGACTCAAGCCAAGGAGGGTCTGTAGACAGAATGTAGATCTGTGTGTGTGTGTGTGTGTGTAGTGACTTACTCAGAGGTGGGCAAGGGCTCCTCCAAAAAGTAGGGGTCCTGCATGGCCTGCTCAGATGTGATTCTACGGATGGGGTCCATGGTCAACAGCTTCTGCAGCTTTTAATGAATTTCACACAATGTTAGCCTCAAACAAGAAGCCATTAATAGAAGTGACATAATGGCAACGCATGCTTCATTTGACACGGAGAACCAAACTATAGCTTCTATTATAGTTGTGCTAGGAAGTCGATAAGTTATGCAAATGACATGCAATTTTGCTATTATTGAGGCAGTTTAACTCACCAAGTGGAATGCTTTGCTGTCTGGTTTGACTTTGTGTTTTTCCATATATTTTATAAGGCTGCAGTTTGTGTATCTGTGATAAGAGAAGGAGCAAAATATATTAACATCATTCTTTCAGTGCAATCACCCAGTTTAACAGCATGCAGAGTTATAGCACGGTTAAGTAAGATTTGTGTACAACACTTAAACACGTCTTTTTGCCAGCAGACATAGCACTTTGCTTTGCTCTAACTTTGTTTCTGATCTTTCGGAAAACTAGGACAGCAGCACTCACGTGTTCCTTCTAAAGTCTTTCATCAGCGTTGAGTGTTCTGGCATCTTTTTGATGTCCTCCCAGTCTTTATCTGACAAATGAGGGAAAGACAGGATTACACCCGGCACACCCTCCCTCCCTCCCTCCCTTCAAGAACAGATTATTTAGGTTGTAGGGTCTGGATTGCAATCTCTTGAGTACAAATGCTCATGATTTCCCTTCAACAACACCTTGTTAGATTAAAGGCATATCTAACTTTGGTTGTGCCTTACATAAT